TAGATAATATTTTAAACAAAGCAATGAGATTATGGCAAAATTTTAAAATTCATATAACACGCAGTAGGCACTATTATTAGCATATAGCAAAGAAATGTAGCCAATAAGCATATATAATAAAGCAGGTAGCAAAATTTAAAGCCTCAATTTATGGTATCAAGTTGTGCTGCCTCATATCTGAAAGAATTCTCACCATACTTAGTAGTTCTAGGTCTTGGTATTTCTGCACAGCTGAAATATCTATTATTCTTTAATACAGTAAGATCTTTCACAAAAACAGGACTTTTCTTATTTATTATTTTAAAGGTCTCCAAGGCACTTGTTCTCATTCTTCTGGTTTTAAGTGACGATAATTTTGATTTTCCCATTAATTTTACATAAGTGGTTTGAAATCATTATAAACAAAACGAAGAGCTGTTCCTGAATATATATATCTTATATCTCAGAAATATTTGGCCCCGTTCCTTCAGTCATGATTCATTGAATTTGAGTATTTTGCATAATTTACATGTTAAAGTACAAATGTATTGCTATTTTATTATCAAAATAATATACAGGTGAGACATATCTCTGAGTCAACAGTTTATATTATAATTTAGACAGGTTCACTTCAAAATTCTGATTTGGTTTTCGTTGTTTTACTTATAAGTATTGCAGCCTTTGATTGTTATATCCTTGTAGATTTTTTTGGAAGGCTGAGTTCTTGTACTCTAAACTATTTCAAGGTATTTGATGTTATAATTTTGTGTAGCAACTGTAATTTATATTAATGTATTTCATTAGGTGCAATGTATTCTGGAAAATATATTCCCAAATATATACACTTAAATGAAATATGATATTAAAATCTTATATTCCAAAATAGAGATGACATGGCTAAAATTCGAATGTCATTAATTTGTTCCCTCAAAAAGAACTTCAGTTATGGTGACATGAGAATGTAGAGAAAAAATCACTTTGAAGCATTAGTTGTTATTTGCAAATGATTTTTTAATGATTAAATAGAATTTGATGAGGGTCTTTGAAGATTTAGTGGTGCATAAGTTCAGATAATGTTTGATATATGTACATGAATTACCATAAATTAGACACATGTCTTTTCATGTATCCAACTATATCATACTTATTTCTAAAAATTACAATTGAAATACAAAAATGTAGTTCCACCTATGATATATCAGTACTAGGGATGTCAACTCGGTGAACAATTACTAATCGAGTACTCGTTGGTTTTATCGAGCGATACTCGAGTACTCGCTCAGGAATATATCTACAACACGGAAACACAAAAATACGTACTTTATATTCTATGGTTTGTTGTTCACTTGTTTGTTGACGAAAAACCATCTACATAAGGACAAGGAATTACACACCATAATTAACATTTCATTACCTAGAAGTAAAACAATAATCTAATCAATATAACTTAATAAACACCTATTTGAAAATTATAACAAGGAAAAACCATATCAAAACACCAGTATTTGGTAATCATTAAGAAAACACATTTAATGTTTACAAAGGCGTAAGGATTAGAACTGTTCACTGGGGGTCACCAGAGGATGCAACAAGTTTATTTTATTTGGAAACATTTTCTTGTCTTTTATTGGGGACAGTCGGTTATGTAACTTTGTAAATTACAGTCTTGCAGACGAAAATATTTGCTCTGACGGTACCGATGTGACGGAATTGTTAAGACATGTTTAGTTTAAAGTGTTAGTCTAAGTAAAGTCCATGTATTTTCGGAGGCATTTTAAATGACAATTTAGCACAAGTATACGAAACAAAATGTATTTTATTTACTAGTATGATTAATCAGTGATGCCTATTTACTTTTATGAAAGAGGTTCTCAAGAAGATCAATTTTATATAAAGAAAACAGCAATATTCTAACAGGAAACCGATTAGTTGAGTATCGTTTTGGTATTCGATACTCGGTACTACCGAGTGAATACTCGAGTACTTGTTGACATCCCTAATCAGTACACCAAGACCTGTCAGGGTGATTCAAACAAAATCCACTCTGGCTGGAGTTACTGTAAACCAAATTATTTTTGCAAGCGATTTACTTTTGCGATTTTTGCGAGTACAAAATAGTTCGAATATGAGTAGTCGCGAAACTGAAAAACTTGAATATAAATACATTAGGAAAATTAGAAAATCATGTAAAAACAAATAGCCAAGAAGTCTGACAGCTAGAAAAAGACAGGTGAAAGATTACCAACGGGACATTCAAACTCATAAGTCGAAAGTAAATTGACAATGCCATGGCTAAAAAGAAAAAGACCAACAGATAAACAACAGTACACAAAACACAACTTAGCAAACTAAAGACTGATTAACACAAACCCCATCAAAACTGGGGTGATTTCAGGTGCTCTGGAAGAGCTAAACGCAAAATAAAGTATCAGCTAGAATAAGTTGGTTTACGGAAAGAGAATCACTGTGAAAAAGGGTGATTGAAAGTGGTAACACTGAATTTTGACCCTGCCATGTTCATCAGACTATTACGAAAAATGAAATTAATATAAAGAGATATTTCAGAGTAAATCATCCACATTTACTGGCATTTGTTGTGAAAATTAACCATTAAAAGCGATTGTTAGCTGAAACCACCTTGTTTGGTATCAATATGTACAATGGTCTTTCACTATCTCAATCAGAATTTTCAAGAATGAAACATACTGTTTAGAGTTGGAGCAATTTTAAGAACTTAACATACATATATGGTATAGACACTTTGCTATTGTTGACGATCCTGTATCGACCTGTAGATGTCTTTTCTGCTGTTATTTTGTTGTTCTTGGGTTGCTTTCATTTATCAATGTATAAACAATATCCCCTTTAAATTTATTCAAGGGCCTCAGTGGCTGAGTGGTCTAAGTAGTTCATCTACAACGATTACTAGCCTGTCAACACTTGAGGTTGCGAGTTCAAACCCAGCTCATGGCAAGGTGCATTCCACTCCAATCTCAACTGACCAGGATGGCCAGTTTTCCTACCAAAGGTCGGTGGATCTTTCTGAGAACTCCATCTTTCTAAAACAATAAAAACTGACCCCGAGGATACTACCACTTTATTTTCTTCATTTTGACTCTGGTGGATAGTTGTCTCCTTGGCAATTATACCACATCTCCTCATTTTTATGTAAAAAGTGCTGAAAGTGGCAAACAACAATCAATCAATATGATTCATGTTATTGAGTCTGAGTAACTCAATGATGGTTTTACTGATTATGTTCTGTCCAAATTATCACTTCTACAAGTTTTATTTTTTATCTTCCAGCGAAATCATCAGTTCTACTAGCTTTAATACATTTTATCTTCTATCGAAATCATCACTGCTACTAGCTTTACTTTTTATACGCCCGTCAAATTTTTGACGGGACGTATTATGGTATACAAATGTCCGGCATCCGTCCGTCTGTCTGTCCGGCGTAAACATGTCGCACCGTAACTTGAGAATGACTTATCCAAATTTCATGAAACTTAACATAGTTGTTTCTTATGATGGTCAAACAATCTGTATACTTTTTGGTGAAAATAAGATTAAAACTTTTTGACTTAGTAACTAAAACAGGTGTGTGTTTTTTTTCACATGTCGCGCCGTATCTCAAAAACAATTTATGATTATTGCTTAAAACTTTACACACTTCTTAGTTATATTAATCTTAAGATCTGTATACTTTTTGGTGATGATTCAAAATTTTATTTTAGAGATATTGAGTATTTTGTTAAAAAAGGGGGAGGGTTTTTTTCACATGTCGCACCGTATCTCAGAAACAGTTTATGATTATTGCTTAAAACTTTACACACTTCTTAGTTATATTAACCTTAAGATCTGTATACTTTTTGGTGATGATTCAAAATTTTATTTTTGAGTTATTGAGTATTTTGTAAAAAAAGGGGGAGGGGTTTTTCACATGTCGCGCCGTATCTCAAAAACGATTTATGATTATTGCTTAAAATTTTACACACTTCATAGTTATATTAATCTAAAGATCTGTATACTTTTTGGTTTTGATCCAAATTTTATTTTTGAGATATTGATTTTTTTTTTTTTAAAAGGGGGGGTTTTCACATGTCGTGCCGTATCTCAAAAACGATTTATGATTATTGCTTAAAATTTTACACACTTCTTAGTTATATTAATCTAAAGATCTGTATACTTTTTGGTTTTGATTCAAAATTTTATTTTAGAGATATTGAGTTTTTTGTAAAAAAAAAGGGGGGTTTTCGCATGTCACGCCGTATGTCAGAAACTATTTATGCTTATTGCATAAAAATTCACACACAAGACGATGGGCGTATCATGGGCTCATGGCGCAGCTGTTTATTATCTTCTACAGAAATCATCACTGCTACTAGCTTTTTTTTATCTTCTACTGAAATCATCACTGCTACTAGCTTTACTTTTTATTTTATATTGAAATCATCACTGCTACTAGCTTTACTTTTTATCTTCTACCTATATCATCACTGCTACTTTAGCTTTACTTATATCTACACTGAAATCATCACTGCTACTAGCTTTACTTTTTTGTCCTCTACTCAAATCATCACTTCTACTAGCTTTACTTTTTATCTTCTATCAACATCATCATTGCTACTAGCTTTACTTTTTATCTTCTATCAAAATCATCATTGCTACTAGCTTTACTTTTTGTCTTCTATCGAAATTATCACTGCTTCTAGCTTTACTTTTTATCATCTATTGAAATCATCATTGCTTCAAAAATGTACTAGCTTTACTTTTTATCTTCTACAGAAATCATCGCTGCTACTAGCTTTACTTTTTATCTTCTGCCCAAATCATTAATGATTCTAGATTTGCTGATTTTGATTCTGTCTAGATCACTAAATGGTTTTAATGATTAGATGTGTTTCAGATCACTGAATGATATTTAAACCTTGATATGATATCCCTTCTGAAACATCAAATTTTATATACCATATTTCATATAGAATCCATCATGTAAACATGATCTTTTCTCTTTTCAGATAGTTTCATAGGTACACATGACCCATGACAATGTCATAAAACATGACAGAAGAAAGCAATAATGTTTCAGTCAGTACATGATGTGTTATCACAGGTATTGGCATTGTCCTGATTGGCCAAACACTGACCATAACAGCAGACAGCAGAAACAAGTGAAACCTTGGAATTTGGTGGAAACTACAGAGGATAAGCTTGGTCAGTACTCTGACATCTATAATTTGAATAGTGTTTTTAGATATCTACAACAGTTTTGAGGATACATTTTGCTCACTATATGAAAATAGTTGTACTTATTTTGATAGAATACCCACATTTTTTCATTAATTCCTCATAAAAGTATTATTACTCACAAAATCTTGATGATTTTTAATTTTTTTCATGAAAACTCATTTATTTAATCTTTAAAGCTCTTAAAAATATTTTTTAAAAGTTAGATGAACTTTAAAAAGTATTCAAGTGCTGTTTGAGTAATTCACTTAAAATAGCCATAAATGGCTAAGTGGCAGGAGTTATTGACAAATTGTGACAATGCCAGCTAAATAAAAATGATCAAGAGTGTAGTATAAAGGATTTTTATGGAGGTTGGTGTTTTATGTTCGGTATAGGTATAAATCAATAAAGGTGTTCAAAGGCATACTATATCATTTAAATGTTTTAAAGTGCATCCAATTGTCACAAGAAAGAGAAATAAGTCCTTTTTAGTATCTTCTATATCACCATGTGTTGTGTTGCTTTAAAACGTGGATAAATTTGTGTATTTTTTCTGGTTTGGGTAAATGATATTCCTTCAAAAAATGAAAAAAAATTTACTGTTAGAGAATTAAAAAAAAAAATATTCAAAAACAGCCTCAGTATTAAGATTAAGTAGGATCTATTGTTAATGTTTGATTAGTTTTATATTGTTAAATCCCAGGTCAACACACACAGTAACTATTTTATAGTAACTCATTGTACAAAGATTAATACAAATTATGTACAGCTCTTGTACAAAAGTCATTCTCTTTCAATATTTCCCTGAGTTATTCTATAATGTAAATTTTCAACAATAGCAGCAAAAAATGACTTCTGGCAATTTAGAGTCTAATAATATTGTAGAGACATTTTCTTATGTAGATGACCCTATTTTGACCTCTTTTATTGTCTTTCAATTTATTCTGTAGTTTGGTCATTTGTGTCATGTCCATGCACCCAACATCTAGTTCTATTTATATTTGAACTCAAGTATTAAAGTTTTTTTTTAAATTCCCTATTAACCCCATGAATATCAATTTTATCTTATGATGATTTTTGTCTCGCCTTGACCAGAATCCAAAAGCGAGACATAGGTATGTTTTTTCAGACATCGGTTGCTGCGTCAACAATGTCCCGCTGCAAATGTTTGCACCTGTCCTAAGTCAGGAATCTGATTACAGTAGTTGTCGTCTGTTTATGTAGTTCATACGTGTTTCTCGTTTCTCGTTTTTATATAGATTAGACCGTTGGTTTTTCCGTTTGAATGGTTTTACACTAGTAATTTTTTGGGGCCCTTTATAGCTTGCTGTTTGGTGTGAGCCAATGCTCCGTGTTGAAGGCCGTACCTTGACCTATAATGGTTTACTTTTATAAATTATTACTTGAATGGAGAGTTGTCTCATTGGCACTCATACCACATCTTCCTATATCTAATTAGTTTGTGATTTGGTCTAGTTTATGGTGAACCACTAGTGGTAGGTCAATGATATTTGGTATGCAGTTGTATAAGCATTGGCACATCTCATTTCCATGGAGATTATTTGGCCCCACCCCCTCAGTCATGCTCTAATGACTGAAACTTTTGCTTAGTTTACATGTATTAGTTTGTGATTAGGTCAGTTTAAGGGGAACCGTTAGTGGTAGGTCAATGATCATTGGTATGCAGTTGAATAAGCATAAGCACTTCTCATTTCCATGGAGAATATTTGTTCCTAATCCCTCAGTCATGGTCTATTGACTTTGAAACTTTTGCTAAGTTTACATGAATTAGTTTGTGATTAGGTCAGTTTAAGATGAACTACTAATGTTAAGTCAATGATATTTGGTATGCAGATGTATTGGCATTTGCAAGTTTCATTTCCATGGAGATTATATAACCCCATCCCCTCATTATGGTTCCTTGACTTTGAAACTTTTACATAGTTTACAAGTTAGTGTTTGTGTTTAGGTTTGTTTAAAGGGAACGACTTATGAAAAGTCAATTGTATTTGGTATGCAGTTGTATTAGCATTTGCACATCTCATTTCCATGGAGATTGTTTAGCCCTGTACCTTCAGTCATGGTTCATTGACTTTGAATATTTGCATAACCATGTTAAAGTATTGCTAATTTAATTTCAACATTTGCATTATCAAAATAACAAATAGGTGAGACATATCTCTGTGTCAACAGTTTATTATATTTTTTTAAATTATTGTTTTCAAGAATTCATAAGTTACAAAGGAACTAATTTTATACATCACATATTGCTATGATAAATTTAGTAATATTGTGACATTAAAATGAAAGATAGGAATTAGATCAATAAATTAAATGATAAATTCTTGGAAATAAAAAAATACTTTCTTTGTTACAGGAAATAATTATTAATGCTGTTGTTAACTGTGAAACTTCATGAAAATATGACATGAAAAAAGTTCAAAATATTTTGTTAAAGTTTATTGATAAATTCAAGACAAGTGTGGAAAAAATTAAAAAGGGAACAATATTTTGTCCATTTAATTTAAATCATACTGAGAACATTAATAACGGACTTCAGCCCCTCCTTTAGTTTAAAACATTGAAAAGGGTTATTCCCCTTTAAACATGTTTTCGTAGATATTTTCATCCCAATATTCATATGACTTAGGTAAATAAAATGAATTTGGATAACATAGGATCCTTAACAGTATTTTTTGTAAGAACAATGAATTTTCATTGGGTATGATCGAAATGTAAAGAAAATTCTATTGATGTGTGTGTTATTGCTGTTTAAATGTTCATCAGCAAAACTAGCTTGTCTTTCATATAATATCAGCTTTAAACATGTAGAGTCATCATATGTATTCATTGTATATTTATATATTTATGTAGCTTTAATTGCAATAGGGCCATGATGTACTATAGCTTTATCAAGAACATTTGTATAACAAAAGTGTACAATGTCTCCTTATCAGTTATTATTATTTTTTATATATAAGCAAAGACGAAAATTTGTTTAAATAAGTAATTTTCATAAAGTATCTCTACAGTGCCATTCTGCATGAAATTTTCAACTGAACAAGTAAAAATATTGAGTTTCTTTAAGTGATTTTAAGAATAATTGAATTTCTGATGTTACAAAGTAATAAAGATGGAAAGTAACTAGTGGCATCAGAAATTTGTTTATGTTATAAATAACCAGTATCAAAAACATAGTACAGAATAAAATTATTCCCAAATGATGTCTAGACTTATATGAGTTGAAAATTTCATGAAAATCCAATAAAAAATGTATATGTTTTATTCTTATGAAATATATTGTGTAATTTTCCTTGACTTTCAATATTTGTACATAAATAGTATTTAAATGTATTTTTCTAATTAGTGCTTTTACTGTACAGAGTGTAAGAATTTGAAAATATAATAACATGATGAAAAGTGCTGAACCAGTTTTTGGACAAAAAAGAATTGTTTTGATTATTTCAGTTTCCATTTGTTTCATTTCAATAAGCTTGATTCCAATCGTTGTCTTTCCTTCTAAGTACATATGTATTTGGTATGGTATTACGTCATTTGTGTTTATGTTGAGAATAAAATCTACGTTAGACGGTTGAGCAAAAAGATGACTTTCTGAATTGGGATAGTTTCCATAACACAGGAAAGATAAATAATAGAATTAATATATTTCTGTAGGTAGGGTTGGGTTTAATACAGTACATAAGAACACAGACAGATGCTTGAAAAATGACAAGTTGGCATGATGATCTTGTCTGTTCAAGGATGTAGAGATCCAGTTTTCCCATGAAGCATTTAAATGACGTAAACAATCGGTGAAAAATAAAAGAGTTTTTTCTAGTAATTGAATTGATATGAATCGAACATATTAGATGTTGCTTACATTTTCCAGTGTGAAAATCTTATGCAACACCTATCTTACAGAGATAATGTCAGATTTATGCACTAAATAGATTGGCATACATATTTGAATGTAGAGAAATATAATAGGATTTAAGTTTTTTTTATGTTATGTGAAATTAATTGTATTGTAGTTTATTACTATGCAATATAGTTACGATAATCCCTGCTGGTACAGTGGTTAAGTAACTTGGTTAGAACCTTCAAGAATGTGGCTTTGGTCTACTATACGAAGGAATCATGGTTATTTTCAACAACAGTTACTTCTTGCATTAAAATATTACTAAGTCGTTAGAGAAACATTACATGTTTGTTTTTGAAAATTTTCTGCCTAATTCATACATGTTAGAACTGGTCAATGGCAATAACAAATGGCATAAATCTAACATAGATTTTTCTGGATTTCCTAGAATGAGAAAAACCACAAATTTAGATACTAGATGAAATACAATTTTTTTATTACTTTGATTGGAACAAAGATGAAACCAGTAAGTCAGATACCCTTTTTTCTCCAGAAATTACAATATATAACTTTTAGTTTGGCTTTATAGGTTTTCAGTGTGTCTCAATGCTAACATGACTCTTTAATATTTTGTCAACTTATATATCACACCTGTTGATAAAGCAAGTTTTTTGTTGTCATTGAAATTTGTAAAAAAATATGTACCTGAAAACTTTCAAATAGATTGAAAAGATTTTATTCATTTTTGATGGGGAAAAGGTTAATTCTGTGAAAGCTGGTTCAAATCTCTTTATCAAAGAAATATTTTGGAAGAACTCAGGATTACATAACATAATTAGACCAAGGTTTATCTTCTCACTTCTTGTATTTTAAATAGGGAAAAAATCAAGGTTTTTTTTCTGTTTCAATGCTGACAACCAGATAGTAACCAAAAGCAAACAGTTAAAGTTTACAAATGATTTTAAATAAATTTATTTTATTCATTGAAGTAGAAAGTTTAACAACTTAGGTTGTAACTTTTAATTTAAAATTGCTTTATAGAATTAAATCCCTGTCACATAAATGTTTTGAAATATAAATATTGATATTATGTACAAATATGCATTGTATTGAAAAGTAGCAAGAAGTAGAAATGTGCAAAAAGTTATTTTTGAAAGTAGTAATTAATGGCTTCTGGTTTATGGTTCTTAACTTTATTGCTACAAGTTTGGCCATTTGCACATTAGATAAAATCAGGAAAAAAACAAAAAATCAAGCCAACTATATGTACTCAATTTTGTTGCGAAAAGGAAATTTGTTATTAATTAACGTTTTGAAAATATCATCAGAAATATTGAATAAATAACTAAGCTGTGATTTCTACGTTGAATCGATCTTTGCTGTATGCATATTACTCTATTATATATTGTATTGTATACCAATGCACCAAATTAGTTCTTATAAAATTATAATTGGCTGGATAAAACAAAATTGATTTTGCTGAAAAAATTTTTTTTGACATTCCAAAAAATATTTTAAGACTATGGCTAATCCTTCAAATTTAAAAAGCCGCTCTGTGCTGTAACCAAAGCAATGACAGTCTAAACCTCAAAGGTTAAGTGTGTAAATATTTAGTTAATACTTTTTGTCATAAAACTCTTGTGTTCATTTTTAATGGTCAATATTTACACTTTGTACAAAATTTTAAATATTGTTAATATTTATAAAACTCTCTTGTTGTTATGTACATTTTGTATATAGATATTTATATATGTGAGGCAGTTGATGTTATAATTATGCCTGTAAATGTTATATATATGAGAAGCAGTTGGTGTTAAATTCTTCATATTTGTTATTGTATGGGAAACTGTTACAGGTATATATATATATTTGTCGTTTTTAGTACATGTGTACTGGAAAAAGTGCTATTTGTGAATTGAATAAAACTATCCGAGAAAATTTGTGCAGACTTCGCTAAGAATTTTAGCTCCTACCTGATTGGGACAGTGTTTGGTATTCCCATCATTCATAGAATGCCATCATTCCCCTTTTTCTAATGGAATTTCAAGACCAATTTTGACTAAAATTGTTCTGAGTGAGCAGTAAATATTGTTTTTTTTTTAAAGAAATAAGATATTCAGAATTTCTTTTTTAGATGATCTGTAAATTCTGTTCCCAAAGGCAGATAACTCTTATAAAATTTTACTGTATTGAAGGTTGAACAGCTGTCTCACAATGTTGATAACATTTTCTTTTTTTGTATTTGAGGGCCATCAGTGTCATTAAAAGTGCTGTCTGCTGTAGTATGAGTCTTTCATTATTTAATGTATGGAGATCCATTCATGTTATTTATAGTACTGTCTGCTTAAGTATGAGTCTCTAATTATTTAATGTATGGTGAACCATTTATGTTATTTATAGCAGTGTCTGTGATATTTTTTCAGTATTAGAAAGCTATTAGATCTTGTTTGTTATTGCTGACTAAATTATTGTTTTGATAGAAGCATTGTTTTCATTAAAACTGTCAAAATAATTGTTATTGTTTCTTACATTTGTTATATTTCTATTCATTACAATCTGGATCAGCTTAATCACCAGATCCATTCAAATGTATGCCCCCTCTCACACTATATTTCCATGTCCAGAGAACAGAGAAATCAGGATAAAAACCCTTTTTGGACATTTAATTTTGAAAGTTCACATCATAATGAATATATGAACCAAGTTTCAAATTGATGTGACCATTACATCATGGTAAACTTATTTGACCAAAACATTTTACCTGATATGAGCAGGATAAATGAACAAACAGACAAACTAACTAACAGATGGACAGATGTACAGACCGGAACACATAATACCCCACTACTTTTGTAGGCTGGGCATACCAATTAGAAAATCTATATCAAAAAGGAATAGTTTCTAAAGACTAAAGGAGGAATACATAATAACCAACACATTATGTATCTGTATGTCATTTGATGTTGGTGGAAAATTATAGTTCATTAATTCAAGATCTTCGTTAGAAGTAGGTATGCTGTATTACAAATAATCCTGGACGCAGAGTCAGAAGAAAACACAATAAATAACAACAGTAGCCATATTGGTCAGCAGTTCAAGGTCATCTGATAGTTCTGGAATAGGGCCACTTTAAAATGCTAAACTATTCTTTTTTCTAATTCTTGACTAGCAGTAAAAAAGGTCTAAGATGACATTTTTATCCATGTGTTTTATTTATAGTAATGACCACCAGTGTGGTTTAATTGGAAAATCCTGGCAAAATTAAAAATTGACACTAGGTGAATTGGGCAAATATTGGCTCAAATTCAATAGGCCAATTTGTACCTGAAGAAAACTAGAAGGATGTCAATTAATGACAACAGCTAATAAACTATTTAGCCCTTGCAATCATGTGCAGTAAGGAGGGGGACTAAACTGATAAAACCCTGCCAAATTCTGTAGTGCCTGTCCCAGTGGTTGTTGTTTGTTGCTGTATACCATATTTGTTTTTCATTTATTTGTTTTGTATATAAATCAGGTCCTTAGTTTTCTTGTTTGAATTGTTTTATATTTGTCATGTTGGGATCTTTTATAGGTTGCTATGTCGTATGGGTTTTGCTCATTTAAGGCTGTACAGTGACCTATAGTTGCTTAACTCTATGCAATTTGGTCTCTGGTGGAGAATTGTGTAATTGGCAATCATTCAGCACCTTCTCATTTTTTTACTAATTTGGCCTCTGATGCATCACCAATAAGACTGGTTCTACAATCAAAAGGAAAATAAATCCAAAGACAATAATCAAAGCACTGTAAGCGCTGTAGGCAGTTAACCAAAAACCAAGGCAAACGTAATTATGAAAACTGTGGCAATGTTGCTTCAATTTTTTTCTAAGATTTGAAAGAACAAACATTAAACATTCGTATATTGTACATTTATGTTCAATAAATGAATTGATTATTAAGGCAAATTAATTAATATTTCATCAAGGTTTTCAAAAGCAACTCATATATCAATGTAAATGACCCCCATCTTCATCTCCAAGTGCATGATGTGACTCCATACCTAGTTTTGAATAAAATGACAGGTGATTATAAAACAGTTGGTCAAACATTCTTGGGCTTTACACTGCTTGAAAGATTTAAATGTTTTCTTTAAAATGAGCCATAAATGAAAATTATGATAGGCCTAGAAATAATTTAATAAACAATTAAAGTAAATTCAATAATCTAGACTCATTTTTTGCATCAAATTTTTTTTATAATAAACAAGAAATAATTGTAACAGGGTGCCGTTACGAAGTCTCCAAAACAAAGCCCCCATAATTCGTCATTCCCATGGTCTCCTGACATTGGGCAAAGTCCAGTTCATATTGGTTTAGTCTAGTAAAGTGATATGCATATGTGACACCAAGGAGATTGACCCTGTATGTCATTCAAATCTTTTTGAAATGATGAACAGGAATAAATATGGTTTAGGTGTGGGTATCTCGACCGTTTACAAGTTCTCAAACAGGAGGGGGTGGGGTGACCCCAGGGACTCCCCCTATATTTCATTTGATTTGTTATATTGTCCCATACATGAATACATATGGTTTAGGGGTGGGGATCTCGACCATTTCCAAGTTCTCAAACAGGAGGGGGTGGGGTGACCCCAGGGACTCCCCCTATATTTCATTTTATTTGTTATATTGTCCCATACATGAATACATATGGTTTAAGGGTGGGGATCTCGACCATTTCCAAGATCTCAAACAGGAGGCGGTGGGGTGACCCCAGGGACTCCCCAAATATTTCTTTTGATTTGTTATATTGTCCCATACATGAATATATATGGTTTAGGGTGGGGATCTTGACTGTTTACAAGTTCTCAAACAAGAGGGGGTGGGGTGTCCCCATGGACTCCCCCTATATTTCATTTGATTTGTTTTATTGTCCCATACATTAATATATATGGTTTAGGGGTGGGGATCTCGACCATTTCCAAGTTATCAAACAAGAGGGGGTGGGGTGACCCGAGGAACTCCCCATATATTTCATTTGATTTGTTATATTGTCCCATACATGAATATATATGGTTTAGGGTTGGGGATCTTGACTGTTTACAAGTTCTCAAGCAGGAAGGGCAGGGGTGTCCCCAGGGACTCCCCCTATATTTCATTTGATTTATTTTTTTGTCCCATACATGAATGTATATGGTTTAGGGGTGGGGATCTCAACCATTTCCAATTTCTCAAACAGGAGGGCTTGGGGTAACCCCAGGGACTCTCCCTATATTTCATTTGGTTTGTTATATTGTCCCATACATGAATATATATGGTTTAGGGGTGGAGATCTCGACCGTTTACAAGTTCTCAAACAGAAGGGGGTGGGATGGCCCCAGGGACTCACTCTATATTTCATTTTTGATTTGTTTTATTGTCCCATACATGAATATATATGGTTTAGGGGTGGGGATCTTGACCATTTCCAAGTTCTCAAACAGGAGGGGGTGGGACGATACTGGGGACTCCCCCAAATTATTTTCATTTGATTTCTTTTATTGTCCCATTCAAGTAAATATATATTAGGTGTGGGTATCTCGACCGTTTACAAGTTCTCAAACAGGAGGGGGTTGGGTGACCCCAGGGACTCCTCTATATTTCATTTGATTTGTTATATTGTCCTATACATGAATACATATGGTTTAGGGGTGGGGATCTCGACTGTTTACAAGTTCTCAAACAGAAGGGGGTGGGGTGACCCCATGGACTCCCCCTATATTTCATTTGATTTGTTTTATTGTCCCATACATGAATATATGGTTTAGGGGTGGGGATCTTAACCATTTCCAAGTTATCAAACAGGAGGGGGGGTGACCCGAGGAACTCCCCATATATTTCATTTGATTTGTTATATTGTCCCATACATGAATATATATGGTTTAGGGGTGGGGATCTTGACTGTTTACAAGTTCTCAAACAGGAGGGGCGGGGGTGTCCCCAGGGACTCCCCCTATATTTCATTTGATTTGTTTGATTGTCCCATACATGAATGTATATGGTTTAGGGGTGGGGATCTCAACCATTTCCAAGTTCTCAAACAGGAGGGGTTGGGGTGACCCCAGGGACTCCCCATATATTTCATTTGATTTGTTATATTGTCCCATAAATGAATATATATGGTTTAGGGTTGGGGATCTCGACCGTTTACAAGTTCTCAAACAGGAGGGGTAGGGTGACCCTAGGGACTCACTCTATATTTCATTTTTGATTTGTTTTATTGTCCCATACATGAATATATATGGTTTAGGGGTGGGGATCTTGACTATTTCCAAGTTCTCAAACAGGAGGGGGTGGGACGTACTGGGGACTCCCCCAAATTATTTTCATTTGATTTCTTTTATTGTCCCATTCAAGTATATATATTGTTTAGGGGTGGGGAACGCGACGGTTTACAAGATAAAAGTACATCTTCAAATTGAAGGGGGTTGGGATGACCCACAGGGACTCACCCTATATTTTGGTTGATTTTTTGTATTGTCCTGTTCTCATTACTGAAGACTGCATGTGTCTATCACCTACTGAGTCATTTGAAAATTTAAAAATATAAAAATCCCATAGGGTTCTATATTAAACCCCTCCCTTCATGAGGCCCCTCCAAATACCCCTAAATAGACCCCAATGCACAAACAAAAGATTAATGGCTCCGCTAGACATGTTAGTCTCATATTTTTATGAAACCCTATGTAAATCTGACAAACGGTCAAAGTTGTCTTCTTAGACGGTTTGAGTGGATTCGGTCCGACTTGTCTCGGGGACGAGTTGTCCACATTACTTAAAACATCCCATCAACGTCGATTTCCGCATCTGTTTCATGACCCCGTTTCATTCATAAAATAACAACAACCTTATTTGGCAGGATAAGTTAGAAATTACCACCCACTTATATAACTTTATTTCCTCTATCATAGAGATTTGTTGTACATGAACAATATTCCTGCGCATTTTGCCATTTGGGAAATATAAACGACTTGTAATTACCTATTTTCGGCGATGAAATATTTCATACAATTGTTCTTTGACATCGTAGCCAAAAGCACAGGGATAATAAACTACGTACGGATTTCTATTGAGCACTACTTCCTATGTGCAACTTCAAAAGTTTTGGGTAGTTCGACGATCATTTAAGGTTTTTCTGGTCATATTTTTTGTATTCCAGAAATAAAAGTATTAAAAAAATGTCCAATTAGTTATAAATAACATAATAGCCAGCTAGATAATAACAATGGCAGGTATTTCAGCATTTATTGGGTAGAACACAAATCTAGGGTGCTCGCATAAGGCAGCTTAACTGCCTAAAAATGCTCTGCAGCTTGATACAACCGCAAAAGTCAAACCCTGAACAGTTGGGGCAAGTATTGACACAACATTCAAGCTTGATACAGCTCTGAATTTGGATTGTGATTAAATATTTGACTCAGCATAGGTTTCTGACACAGAATGAATGTGGTCTAAGAACTTAAAAATTTGAAATTGAACATTTACCTCATATGGTCTAATATCCAAAATTAAAATACATGTTTAAATACATCATATCAAAGAACCCCAAGAATTCAAGTTTAATTTTGGACCTCAATGTGGACAAATTTGATTACGGGGCCCAAAATCAAAAATCTAAATACACGGTTAGATTCAGGATATCAAAGAACCCCAAGAGTTTAATTTTTGTTGAAATCAAACAAAGTTTAATTTTGGACCCTTTGGACCTTTATGTGGATCAATTTTAAAATAGGGAACAAAATTAAAAATTTAAATACACGGTTAGATTCAGCATATCAAAGAACCCCAATAATTCAATTTTTGATGAAATGTCAAACAAAAGTTTAATTTTGGACCTCAATGTGGACCAATTTAAAAACAGGGCTCAAAATCTAAATCCAGTTAGAATCAGCATATTAAAGAACCCCAAGAAATCAAGACTTTGACCCCCATTGAAATTGGTCAAGAAATAAGCAATTTAAACAAAGTATTAGAAAAGTATTATTTTTGACCCCTTTTTCTTAACGGTTAGGGCCATAACCCCCAAAATCAATCCCAAACTTCCATTTGAGTATGGAACCTTGTGGTAAAATTTCTTAGAGATCCATACACTGATACACAAGTTATTGTCTTGAATCAAGAAAAATGCTTGTTTATGCCCCTTTTTGGCCTCAATTATCATGTGTTATAACCCCCAATATCAATCCCCAACCTTACTTTTGTGGTATGGAAGCTTGTACAATTTCATAGAGATCCATACACGTATACTCAAGTTATTGTTTAAAAACCAAAAGTCTTCAGACAATGATAACGTCATACCATTAAATGGCTCAAAAATTTTGCGGTCGTATAAAAATTCATCAATAACATAAACTTGATATTTGAACTATGTGACTGTAGTCTGACATATTGAGTTCAGTATGAGTTTTCTAAGAAGGTTTAAAAATGGCAGTCTGAAATTGACCTAGCATATGAACAGCAGAGCACTATTAAAGTCTAGCCTCCATTCATTGCTTGTTAGATTAAAGTAATGATATCAGAGATAGTTTAAAATCTCTATAGAGAAAAAAGGTAAATGTATAATGTATATTACTATAGAACATAATAAAATAAAGAGAAGCTTTCTTAATATCATATTTTATTTTTGATAAAATAATGTCAAATATTACGATAAATTATCACAAAATACATTGTTTGTCGTTTAAAATGATAACAGACATTTTTGGTTATTTAAAAAATCTTCAAAATATTTTTCTTTGATGTAAGCATTTTACAAAGTGATCTTATCACAATAGTGCCATGAATGCAGGAGTTATCTCCCATGTGAAGAATAACATAAGAAAACATATAAAGTGACCAGTGCTTGTATGTTCATTGCATATGACGACTAGAATTCTCATAATAAATGCTAAAAATAAATAAAGCAAAATATTATGAAAAAAAAGTTACATATAATAATTTAAAAAATATACACATCAACATAAAAACATTATAAACTTGCATGTTTTGACCAATAAAACAAAAGACACAACAATAAAATACAGAAGAATATTGTGTTGAAAAGAGAGGAAATTATCAACACATGGCCAGTAAGTAACCTTTGTTAATCTTCAAGCAAGTAAAACCCATACTTGTATAACTATCCATCTTAACATTGGATCTACAATCTTGTTGGGAATAATGATATGCACATTTACTGGAATGAAGGAAACAATGAAAAAAGAAAAAGTAAAACACATGTAACTGGCATATAGATAATGTCAAGAAGAATCTCTTTCTGTTTATAAAAATCACACATTTATGGAAGACAAGTTAATAAAACTGAATTCGTGAATTATCTAGATCTATTTCAAAGAGATAAATTTCCACAAAGATATCATCTCTAAGTACCAGTTTGCCTATTTTAATTTTGGTATGCATGTTTAATTATTCTTGAAAAAATGGAAATATTATATCGAATACTTTATGTTAATAAATTGCAATATATTGAAATAGTCTTATGGACTATTGAAGAAAGCATCAAATTAGAAGTCAGTAAAAATTGACCTGCTGAAAAATTTGCATAATAATATCCTTATATAAATTGCCTTATTAAAATTTGATGGTTAAAGTCCAATAACTCTAGAAAAGCAAATCCAAAACTTTTCAAAATCAAAAGAAAGTTTACTTTGACCAATCCCAACAGCAGTGTAAAGTTTGAAGTAAACTGATTTAAACATACTCGAGCTAGGCCTTGACATGTGATATATTTTGGAATGTTATGATTTTACCTGTAAGGTTTCGAGTACATGTATATGGAATAACTTATAAAGTTTAATGAAAAGTTAATAAAAAAAAAACTATAACAAATATATATTTGAGCAAAATTAACTTTTGATAATATTTTTTAAGCTGCCAAAAATGTCCACTGAAGATGTAACCTGATAATTCTTAGAAATGCCCATTGAATTGATTGGTTACAATAATGTCACATTTTGAACAGTAAAATTCATGGTTTATTGTAGGAACTTTAGAAAACATCACAATGCAATAAAAAAATAAATAACTTGATACTTTTTTACTTTTTCTGAAATTGCATAAGATAACACTACCTTTTTTTTCTTTTGGGGGGGGGGGGGGGGGGGGGGGGGAGGGGGGGGATTTGAGGTTTCAGCTCTGTTAATAATCTCAACAAAACTCATGACACCATGAACTTAATTTGTCATAGAAAATGCCTCAATTTACATCCCCATGTACACAATACAGCTGTCCTGTAAGCTTCTGTTAAAACAATGATTTTCTACAAACATTTAGATTGATTGTAGTTTGTTTAATATGTCTATAGCATATACTTCATGCATATTTGATAATAACAAACATTTCAAAAAGTTCAAAATAAAAACATGGCAAACATAAACCTTCAAGTCATCATTTTTGACAGTAACTTAAAAGTGCCAAGCTTATTATCTACAAAAATCCAGAATCTGAGATTCATGCATAAAAGCTGTGAATTATATTTTCTTGGATATATAATGAATAATTTCCCTAAACTAAAAGCAATGTTGAGGAAAAGAAAGTAAGTTCAATGCGTTTTAGCAAATGATTTAAACATAAACTTAATACACAGATTTTTTTACCAACATAGGATAGACCTATGGACACATGAAGAGACAAGCTCATGTTATGTTTGTGATGGTGCATTAAAAGACCATAAAATGTACTCTAATGTCAACCATCGTTATCTAATGGAAATTTAAGACGGAATAAGCCATGTAGCTATTGGTTTTAGTCCTAGATGTCTTAAGATGATGTTATGAAGTTGACCCCTTCTTCTGTCGAAGATGTAGAACAGCATTAGGTACAAGTCCACTAGCTTCTAATGTCTTTGTATCATCAGTATGTGTTTTATTTGGGTAGGCTGAAACAATGATGTAATCTGATTCTGCTGGTGATCTAAAAAAAAAAACAATCAAAAAACTTAATGAACAATACTTTTAAACTTTATAGATGTTATGTAAAGCATTTTCTCTCAGTATTACAGATAAACTATATAGATATTATGTACTGTGGATTCATTATTATTCGTTGGATACCAATTTTCGTGGGTTTCGTGGGTGAAGGTGAACCACGAATTCAAATATTCAACGAATAACATATTTCCAATAGGCTTTATATACAGAGATTGGCAAAACCACAAAATCATATATCCACGAATGTGCAAGTTTTCAGCAATCCACGAAAATTGATACCAACGAAAATAAATGAATCCACAGTACATCATTCTCTCTCAGTATTACAAATAAAATTTACAACAAATGGTGATTAAACGGCTAACACTCTTAATTACTCCTGTTGAGCTAGAGAAAAAAAACATGTTTCAAATTTATAATCTATCTTTCAATTAACAAACAAAATTCATTGTAAACTGTGATGTCAATTTTTATTTCTAAAATAAAATATGGGAGTGAAATTTCCAATGTTTCCCCTTCAGATGTAGCATTTTGTCCCATTAACATGAATTACATGGTTTTCTTTGATACTAGAAAATATATAAAATGACCAGAAGAAACAGTAGCAAAGGAAAGACATCCTTAACATAACATGATAGTACAAACATTTTTTTTATTTGTCTTAGTAATGTAATTTTACAAAGCTACACCTTCCTGTACAGATATAGACCAAGCTCACACATGAAAAGAGTGCTTTGGTAGATGGCATGTATCTAACTGTTTCAGATTCATAATTGTATCATAGAAAGTATACTCATATTTTCCTGAAAGACATCTTTTATAATTTTCTTCGATGTATTCCTATATCAGTTCAATCCTAGTGAAGTTGAAATGTAAAACTGGTTTTCCCAACAAATTTTGTGCCTGTGGGCTTTTGAGACCATGTGTAGTTTGTTGTTGGTTGACTTTGTTCATCTGTTTGTTTGGTGGAGTGAGTTGTTGGTGGTTGATTAGATCTGTTGTACTGTACAAAGTCAGGCTGTTGAGACCATGTGTAGTTGTTGTTGATTGATTTCAATCATCTGTATGTTTGGTGGAGTGAGTTGTTGGTGGTTAATTAGATCTGTTGTATTGTACAAAGTCAGGCTGTTGAGACCATGTAGTTTGTTGTTGTTAGACTTTGTTCATCTGTTTGTTTGGTGGAGTGAGTTGTTGGTGGTTGATTAGATCTGTTGTACTGTACAAAGTCAGGTGGAGTAAGTTGTTGGTAGTTGATTAGATCTGTTTTACTGTACAAAGTCAGGCTGTTGAGACCATGTGTAGTTGTTGTTGATTGATTTCATTCATCTGTATGTTTGGTGGAGTGAGTTGTTGGTGGTTGATTGATCCGTTGTACTGTATAAAGTCATGCTGTTGAGACCATGTATATATGTTGTTGATTGATTTCATTCATCTGTTTCTTTGGTGGAGTGAGTTGTTGGTGGTTTATTAGATCTGTTGTATTGTACAAAGTCAGGCTGTTGAGACCATAAAGTTTGTTGTTGTTTGACTTTGTTCATCTGTTTGTTTGGTGGAGTGAGTTGTAAGTTGTTGATTAGGTCTGTTGTACTGTACAAAGTCAGGCTGTTGAGACCATGTATAGTTGTTGTTGATTGATTTCATTCATCTGTTTCTTTGGTGGAGTGAGTTGTTGATGGTTAATTAGATCTGTTGTACTGTACAAAGTCGGGCTGTTGAGACCATGTGTAGTTTGTTGTTGGTTGACTTTGTTCATCTGTTTGTTTGGTGGAGTGAGTTGTTAGTGGTTGATTGATCCGTTGTACTGTATGAGGCCATGCTGTTGAGACCATGTATAGTTTGTTGTTGGTTGACTTTGTTCATCTGTTTGTTTGGTGGAGTGAGCTGCTGGTAGTTGATTATGTCTATTGTACTGTACAAAGTCAGGCTGTTGAGACCATGTATAGTTGTTGTTGATTGATTTCATTCATCCGTCTCTTTGGTGGAGTGAGTTGTTGGTGGTTAATTAGATCTGTTGTGTTGTACAAAGTCAGTCTGTTGAGACCATGTAGTTTGTTGTTGGTTGACTTTGTTCATCTGTTTGTTTGGTGGAGTGAGTTGTTGTTGGTTGATTGATCCGTTGTACTGTACAAAGTCATGCTGTTGAGACCATGTATAGTTTGTTGTTGGTTGACTTTGTTCATCTGTTTTTTTGGTGGAGTGAGCTGCTGGTAGTTGATTAGGTCTGTTTTACTGTACAAAGTCAGGCTGTTGAGACCATGTTTAGTTGTTGTTGATTGATTTCATTCATCTGTTTCTTTGGTGGAGTAAGTTGTTGGTAGTTGATTAGACCTGTTTTACTGTACAAAGTCAGGCTGTTGAGACCATGTGTAGTTGTTGTTGATTGATTTCATTCATCTGTATGTTTGGTGGAGTGAGTTGTTGGTGGTTAATTAGATCTGTTGTGTTGTACAAAGTCAGCCTGTTGAGACCATGTGTAGTTTGTTGTTGGTTGACTTTGTTTATCTGTTTGTTTGGTGGAGTAAGTTGTTGATGGTTAATTAGATCTGTTGTACTGTACAAAGTTAGGCTGTTGAGACCATGTGTAGTTTGTTGTTGGTTGACTTTGTTTATCTGTTTGTTTGGTGGAGTGAGCTGCTGGTAGTTGATTATGTCTATTGTACTGTACAAAGTCAGGCTGTTGAGACCATGTATAGTTGTTGTTGATTGACTTTGTTCATCTGTTTCTTTGGTGGAGTGAGTTGTTGGTGGTTGATTGATCCGTTGTACTGTATAAAGTCATGCTGTTGAGACCATGTATATATGTTGTTGATTGATTTCATTCATCTGTTTCTTTGGTGGAGTGAGTTGTTGGTGGTTTATTAGATCTGTTGTATTGTACAAAGTCAGGCTGTTGAGACCATAAAGTTTGTTGTTGTTTGACTTTGTTCATCTGTTTGTTTGGTGGAGTGAGTTGTAAGTTGTTGATTAGGTCTGTTGTACTGTACAAAGTCAGGCTGTTGAGACCATGTATAGTTGTTGTTGATTGATTTCATTCATCTGTTTCTTTGGTGGAGTGAGTTGTTGATGGTTAATTAGATCTGTTGTACTGTACAAAGTCAGGCTGTTGAGACCATGTGTAGTTTGTTGTTGGTTGACTTTGTTCATCTGTTTGTTTGGTGGATTGAGTTGTTAGTGGTTGATTTATCCGTTGTACTGTTTGAAGCCATGCTGTTGAGACCACGTATAGTTTGTTGTTGGTTGACTTTGTTCATCTGTTTGTTTGGTGGAGTGAGCTGCTGGTAGTTGATTATGTCTATTGTACTGTACAAAGTCAGGCTGTTGAGACCATGTATAGTTGTTGTTGATTGATTTCATTCATCCGTCTCTTTGGTGGAGTGAGTTGTTGGTGGTTAATTAGATCTGTTGTGTTGTACAAAGTCAGTCTGTTGAGACCATGTAGTTTGTTGTTGTTTGACTTTGTTCATCTGTTTGTTTGGTGGAGTGAGTTGTTGTTGGTTGATTGATCCGTTGTACTGTACAAAGTCATGCTGTTGAGACCATGTATAGTTTGTTGTTGGTTGACTTTGTTCATCTGTTTTTTTGGTGGAGTGAGCTGCTGGTAGTTGATTAGGTCTGTTTTACTGTACAAAGTCAGGCTGTTGAGACCATGTTTAGTTGTTGTTGATTGATTTCATTCATCTGTTTCTTTGGTGGAGTAAGTTGTTGGTAGTTGATTAGATCTGTTTTACTGTACAAAGTCAGGCTGTTGAGACCATGTGTAGTTGTTGATTGATTTCATTCATCTGTATGTTTGGTGGAGTGAGTTGTTGGTGGTTGATTGATCCGTTGTACTGTATAAAGTCATGCTGTTGAGACCATGTATATATGTTGTTGATTGATTTCATTCATCTGTTTCTTTGGTGGAGTGAGTTGTTGGTGGTTTATTAGATCTGTTGTATTGTACAAAGTCAGGCTGTTGAGACCATAAAGTTTGTTGTTGTTTGACTTTGTTCATCTGTTTGTTTGGTGGAGTGAGTTGTAAGTTGTTGATTAGGTCTGTTGTACTGTACAAAGTCAGGCTGTTGAGACCATGTATAGTTGTTGTTGATTGATTTCATTCATCTGTTTCTTTGGTGGAGTGAGTTGTTGATGGTTAATTAGATCTGTTGTACTGTACAAAGTCGGGCTGTTGAGACCATGTGTAGTTTGTTGTTGGTTGACTTTGTTCATCTGTTTGTTTGGTGGAGTGAGTTGTTAGTGGTTGATTGATCCGTTGTACTGTATGAAGCCATGCTGTTGAGACCATGTATAGTTTGTTGTTGGTTGACTTTGTTCATCTGTTTGTTTGGTGGAGTGAGCTGCTGGTAGTTGATTATGTCTATTGTACTGTACAAAGTCAGGCTGTTGAGACCATGTATAGTTGTTGTTGATTGATTTCATTCATCCGTCTCTTTGGTGGAGTGAGTTGTTGGTGGTTAATTAGATCTGTTGTGTTGTACAAAGTCAGTCTGTTGAGACCATGTAGTTTGTTGTTGTTTGACTTTGTTCATCTGTTTGTTTGGTGGAGTGAGTTGTTGTTGGTTGATTGATCCGTTGTACTGTACAAAGTCATGCTGTTGAGACCATGTATAGTTTGTTGTTGGTTGACTTTGTTCATCTGTTTTTTTGGTGGAGTGAGCTGCTGGTAGTTGATTAGGTCTGTTTTACTGTACAAAGTCAGGCTGTTGAGACCATGTTTAGTTGTTGTTGATTGATTTCATTCATCTGTTTCTTTGGTGGAGTAAGTTGTTGGTAGTTGATTAGATCTGTTTTACTGTACAAAGTCAGGCTGTTGAGACCATGTGTAGTTGTTGTTGATTGATTTCATTCATCTGTATGTTTGGTGGAGTGAGTTGTTGGTGGTTAATTAGATCTGTTGTGTTGAAAAAAGTCAGTCTGTTGAGACCATGTAGTTTGTTGTTGTTTGACTTTGTTCATCTGTTTGTTTGGTGGAGTGAGTTGTTGTTGGTTGATTGATCCGTTGTACTGTACAAAGTCATGCTGTTGAGACCATGTATAGTTTGTTGTTGGTTGACTTTGTTCATCTGTTTTTTTGGTGGAGTGAGCTGCTGGTAGTTGATTAGGTCTGTTTTACTGTACAAAGTCAGGCTGTTGAGACCATGTTTAGTTGTTGTTGATTGATTTCATTCATCTGTTTCTTTGGTGGAGTAAGTTGTTGGTAGTTGATTAGATCTGTTGTACTGTACAAAGTCAGGCTGTTGAGACCATGTATAGTTTGTTGTGTTTGATTTCATTCATCTGTATGTTTGGTGGAGTGAGTTGTTGGTGGTTAATTAGATCAGTTGTACTGTACAAAGTCAGGCTGTTGAGACCATGTGTAGTTTGTTGTTGGTTGACTTTGTTCATCTGTTTGTTTGGTGGAGTGAGTTGTTGGTGGTTAATTGATCCGTTGTACTGTATAAAGTCATGCTGTTGAGACCATGTATAGTTTGTTGTTGGTTGACTTTGTTCATCTGTTTGTTTGGTGGAGTGAGCTGCTGGTAGTTGATTAGGTCTGTTGTACTGTACAAAGTCATGCTGTTGAGACCATGTATAGTTTGTTGTAGGTTGACTTTGTTCATCTGTTTGTTTGGTGGAGAGAGTTGTTGGTGGTTAATTAGATCTGTTGTACTGTACAAAGTCAGGCTGTTGAGACCATGTATAGTTTGTTGTTGGTTGACTTTGTTCATCTGTTTGTTTGGTGGAGTGAGTTGTTGGTGGTTAATTAGATCTGTTGTACTGTACAAAGTCAGGCTGTTGAGACCATGTATAGTTTGTTGTTGGTTGACTTTGTTCATCTGTTTCTTTGATGGAGTGAGTTGTTGGTGGTTAATTAGATCTGTTGTACTGTACAAAGTCAGGCTGTTGAGACCATGGGTAGTTTGTTGTTGGTTGACTTTGTTCATCTGTTTGTTTGGTGGAGTGAGTTGTTGGTGGTTGATTGATCTGTTGTACTGAACAAAGTCAGGCTGTTGAGACCATGTATAGTTTGTTGTTGTTTGACTTTATTCATCTGTTTGTTTGGTGGAGTGAGCTGCTGGTAGTTGATTAGGTCTGTTGTACTGTTCAAAGTCAGGCTGTTGAGACCATGTATAGTTTGTTGTTGATTGGTTTCATTCATTTGTTTGTTTGGTGGAGTAAGTTGTTGGTGGTTAATTAGATCTGTTGTACTGTACAAAGTCAGGCTGTTGAGACCATGTATAGTTTGTTGTTGGTTGACTTTGTTCATCTGTTTGTTTGGTGGAGTGAGTTGTTGGTGGTTAATTAGATCTGTTGTACTGTACAAAGTCAGGCTGTTGAAACCATGTATAGTTTAATGTTGGTTGACTTTGTTCATCTGTTTATTTGGTGGAGTGAGTTGTTGGTCATTGATTAGGTCTGTTGAAATGTCCAATAGTTCTGGTTTAGGTAATTCCTATTACCATTCTTATGTTTTATTAAGAAAACTCTTAAAGCTTGTATCATTTAAAAATTCAAAATAACAGTTTAAAAAAGGTTCCCTTTTAATGAGAAAAATTACTTCAAATAACAAGTTAACTCCATCTAAATTTACTACACAAATATTTTTGCGATGTTAATTATATAGAATTAATTTTGATCATACCTCTGTAGATTTAAATATTTCCTCAGATCACCTACAGTCTCATTAAACTTCATCTTTAAGATATATGTCTGATTGCCTGTCTCTGACTTAATTCTTAGTGTTGTTATATTCCTTGGGGTTGATGGTCGGACTGATTCTTCAAGTTCTAACCTAGTAAAAAAAATATATTCATTAGTTTTCAGATACATAGTATTGATTTACTTGTTTTCTACAATGTCGCCACCTTTTCATATATAAAAGAAAGAAAGAAACTCATTAATAACAGACAACAAAAATAATAAAAGCTTGATTCAAAACTTTATTTTTATAGGCACAATTTATGCTGAGATAGGTTGATTTTGTGGTTTTGCCAACATCTGCATACAAGCCTATAGAAAATGTATACCTAGTTAAACATTTAAATTTGTGGTTCACATATACCCATGAAATTCACAAAAATTGGTATCCAACGAATAATAATGATTCCATGGTAATTGTGATTTTATATTTCTGTGAAATAACAGCAATTAGTACAACCAACAGCATCCCATGTGATCTATAAACAATATATCTAGCGAAACAAGCATATTATGAGTATTTTATTATTTCAAAGGAACATAACTACTAGAAAATACATGCACTTTAATAATAGGCAATGCTGAAAACTAAATTCAACATTATTTTCTATAATTATCAAGGTTTTTTTTTTCATTTATCTGAATTTATGAATCAGAAACTAATTCACCTGCTTTCATTGTTTTATTTTACCTTATTGTACTTACCTTTTCTTTAATTCATTTACAGTTTCTGTTTCTACAACTGTTACAACTGGTTTATCACTCTTCTTATCCTAAAATAAATATAACAGGTAAAAAAAGAAATCATTCTTATACAGGTAAAAAGATAATTTACATGTTTTTTTTATCTATGACATGAGATCAAACAGACCAAGATAAATCATCAGTATACTATTAAAATTGAGAATGGAAATGGGGAATGTGTCAAAGAGACAACAACCCGACCATAGAACAGACAACAGCAGAAGGTCACCAACAGGTCTTCAATGCAGCGAGAAATTCCCGCACCCGGAGGCGTCCTTCAGCTGGCCCCTAAACAAAAATGTATACTAGTTCAGTGATAATGAATGCCATACTAAACTATTGCATGGGTAATGATCTTGTTGGTCTATTTCTATTTATTTTGATATAGGGTCACATGACCATCAGCAGTCCTTAGGGGTCATTTTGATGGTTAATTAGATGGTGTTCAGTCCTAAAATACACAAAAAGTGCTAAAACTTTCTTATTATTTCATGCATTGTTTATTGTTTCCTATAGAAAGCTTGTTATTCTGGTAATTCTTTTAGTATGTTATAAATCAAATTAAAGAGTCTGAGTCAATTTGGTGGTTATAAATATGACAGATAATGCCCCTTTAGTGTTAATCTTTTTTCTTTACATTTCAAAGTAGCATAATTTCTTTTATGAAATGAATACATCGAAGAAAATTATAACAGATGTCTTTTCAGGAAAATATCGAAGAAAATTATAACAGATGTCTTTTCAGGAAAATATGAGTATACTTCCTATGATAAAATTATGAATCTGAAACAGTTAGATACAGGCCGTCTACCAAAGCACTCTTTTCTTGTGTGAGCTTGGTCTGTATCTGTACAGGAAGATGTAGCTTTGTAAAATTATTGATCAGCACGAATATCAAAACTTGTCTGAGATATTGCTGATCTAAACCTTAGACATAAATTTGATTAAACTGTACTTAGAAATGTTGATTTTCCATATTTTGAATTCGTCCAAGGATTTGATGACTACACATAACTTTCATTGAAAACTTTTGAGTTTTGTATGCATGAGAACACTAAAAATTAGGGACAGATTGGCAGACAGACAGAGGCAAGGACATTAGCATTTCCATATCGCATGGTCACTTTCAAAGAAGGGGATAAAAATAAGAATTTTAAGGTTTTAAATTGCATTAACAAAACATAAAAATTCAGTCTCCTTGTAAAAAATTGACTTACACTTAGATGTTCATTCAGTGTATTTCTAATATCTACAATCTTTCCTCCTTTAACAACAGATTGTGGTAATTTGTTTAAGAATTGGTCTTTAGTCAAGGTTTTACCTAAAAATAAAACATGAGTATCACAATATCAAATTACTTTCATCATAACAGAGAAATACTGCAATTTCTTTACTACTGATCTTACAAGATTTGTTATTTTATAGGTAGAAGCAGCAAAGAGTATGGCATATGTTGTAGAAAAAACTGCCCTGAAGAGTGTTTAGAATATTTAGCTCTATTGATAATAATAGAAACTTTTAAGATAAAGAACGGCAAGACAGTACCAATCCTTTACTTTTCATTAATTTCAGCTTTTGGAGATAATTTTTTGTATGATTGCACCAAATATCCCATTTATTTAGATATATATGATTGTACCAAATATCCCGTTTATTTAGATATATATGATTGTACCAAATATCCCGTTTATTTAGATATATATGATTGTAACAAATATCCCGTTTATTTAGATATATATGATTGTACCAAATATCCCGTTTATTTAGATATATATGATTGTAACAAATATCCCGTTTATTTAGATATATATGATTGTACCAAATATCCCGTTTATTTAGATATATATGAATCGACCAAATATCTCGTTTATTTATATATATATAATTGTACTAAATATAGCATTTATTTAGATATATATGATTGTACTAAATATAGCATTTATTTAGATATATATGATTGTACCAAATATCCCATTTATTCAAATAATGTGTATATATTATTATTAGAAACTATCTGGTTTTATATTTTTATGATCACTGTAGCACATGTGTCAATAGTAACATTGCAGCAATGACAAGACTATGGTAGGCTGATCATAAAAAAATATTACAATTCAAAAGAAGTCAGAAAACTTGGAGTTTCTTGTAATTACTGGTTACTGATAAAATTAAACCATTTCCATGTTTCCTACCTGGTCGTTTGCTGGTCACTGAAACACTAATAGGGTGTTCTGGGTTCTCAGGTGTTTCAGATTTCTGTGTAGTTTTGTTAAGTGTTGAAGCTACTAGTCTTGATGGCTGGATGCCTCCACCTAGAGTTTGCCCTACACCTTTAAATGCTTTCAAGGGTTTCTTTATCTCAAAATGAGTATGGCGAAAATCTTTCACCTAAAAAACAAGATAGTTATTTCATTGTTACTGAAAACTTAGCCATTGATACCAGAATCCACATTGGGATTATTACAACTTTAATTTGCCAATTGTGAGCAAATACTCTACCTAGATGATTCATATGATTCAAATTTTAGAATAACTGCCTAGCATTTGTATATTTCAATAGCTATATTCAGAATTAAGGTTACATCTAACCTTCAGTTTGTTTGGAACAGTAAAATGTTAAATTAAGCAAATTAATTTTTGTTAACAAAGCCAAAGTTGTGACCAAAGGAGAAATAATTTACATTTCTAAACTGTAAATAAGAGCATATTTAACAATGGACATAGCCATTCGTTATTAAATTAATTACATATATTACTTCAAACAAATGATGAAAAGTTATTTTTTAAAAAATAATACTTACTACGAATGGAATACCATTTGGATATCTTGTTTGTAACTCAGAAGGGAAATACCCATCCAATATGTCTTTTAGTAAATGCTGTGTCGGTGGGTCACTGAAGGGTCGGAATGGACCACTATACATCATTATACCATTTGCATATAAGGCTAAATCAACTGGGTCTGGCATCTGTAAATAAAAAGATTTTGCAATCGAAAGCATAAAATACGATGTAAAAAAGATGATGTAACTGCAGAAAATTCCAACAAAAACATATATGTCAACTACAAGTGATATTTTTCTTAGGGTTCATTGGAGTTTGTATAACATAAGGTTTAGTTTTCAGTGTAGTTTGATCTTTACACATTGTATTGTGATCTGATTCCATTCTATTTTCAATCAAGTAACATATGCAGTGTACTTCACTAGAGAAAACACATTGAACTGTGAGCTATTGATATCAAATGATACCTTTGCTGCTAGTATTCCGTATATATATAACAGGAACTTGTAAAGCCATATACATGAATCTGAAAATGCACCATCTATTGGAGCATGCTTACATAAAGCTTGATACCAAGTTTAAGGAAGCTCTGATCTGTAGTTCCTGAGAAAAGTCCAATGAAAGGTAACACAGAAGAAAGGACAACAGACTAAACCAGTATGTAAATCCCTATACCAGACCCCTACCTAATCATCTTCAGTCCAACAAAATACCATTGTATTTGATTCCATAAATTTCCTCTTAGGGTTATTTCTCACCAACAACACCAGCCTTCACTAATACACTTGATTTGCCTAAATATATATTGTTTATTTCATAATTATATATATAAATGTTGCTTTGTATAACTTCTAATAATTTATGAACTAATAATTGCTTAATGAAAAGATAATAATCTACTTTACCTTAAGTCTAGCACCATCAGTTGTGTGTTGTATTCTGGAAATACCATCTCCAGCTAAAACATTCAGGTCTTTGATATTCTCTAATATTTTATCATAGTCTATAGATGGTGGTGGTGGGTCATCATCACCAGCAAGAGAAGATTCTGAAATAGAGTAAACTTATTATAGGTCAATTATATTTATTATTCAGTACTTCAATGCATGAAGGGCAAATCCATCAGCTTTGATGAGTATATAACTACAGCATTATTTTTGCTATGTTTTCTGAGGCAAAAATTTGAAAATAATCTGTATTCTTCATTGACAAGGATTGCCACATTTCCTGCCAAAGGTTGGTGGTTCTATCCGGGTACTCTGCTTCCTCCACCAATGAAACGGGCCACAAAGATATAGCCAAAAGCAATGAAAGGGGCAATAAACACCAATAAACAAACAAAAGGTTGTAAGCAACTTGTACTCACAAATCCTTCTAAACCAGTAACTGGATTTCAGTGAAGCTTTCAGGGAATGTTTAGATTCATTGTACAACTTTTATTCAAAGTTTTGTTTCAAGTCATTTTTTAGGTTTCCCATAGCATAACATGGAATAAGTATTGAATGCAGAGAAGTGATATAAATTCATGGGCTCTGGTCTTAGCTTTTGGTTTTATATATAAATGAACAGAGAATGTGTCCATGGGACACAGATAATGCCCCAGCTTGCATATAACATTATAAAGAGACATAACTAGAGAACTGTAAAAGAGACACTACCCAAATACGATCTTGATCTGTGCTTTATGGTAATAAGCATTGTGTATTCATAACATTTGGTTGAGGCAAACTAAAGTTAGAGAATGAAAACTAATTTTGGGATGTACAGACTAACAAGGGTAACACTTAATGCCCCCTCCACCGCGGAGGGGTTATAAAAAAAGAAGCAAAATACCATTAATCTGAAGTACTTTAATTTGTCAAAGATACTTTTTTATTGAATATGTATAAGACATTCATAAAAGTGGCTAATAAAATCTTAGGGAAAACATATTTTCTAATAAACAATTAATATTTACTGTCAAATTTATTCCATATGGACAATGCATCTTTTAATTTTTGGACTTTCACATATTATATTTGTTTATTTTCTCATTTTAATCTTTATTATCTTCAAATTTAAATGGTCCCCTCTTTATACATTTTTGATAATTTTGATCAAATTAATATCAGTGCGCATTTACTGGTGGATATACCCTTAACAAAAATAGCATTTCGCTAACTTGAACCCAAATTCTTTAAACATCAAATCATTATTGAATCTAATTTAAGTTTTCTTGTTTTATCTGCTTGTTAAAATAAACTGTTAACACAGAGATATGTCTCACCTATTTGTTATTTTGATAATGCAAATGTTGAAATTAAAATAGAAATACTTTAACATGTAAGTTATGCAAATATTCAAAGTCAATAAACCATGACTGAAGGTACTGGGCTAAACAATCTCCATGGAAATGAGATGTGCCAATGCTAATACAACTGCAAACCAAATACTATTGACTTTTCATAAGTCGTTCCCTTTAAACAAACATTAACTTGTAAACTATGTAAAAGTTTCAAAGTCAATGAACCATAATTAGGGGGTGGGGTTATATAATCTCCATAGAAATGAAACTTGCAAATGCCAATACATTTGCATACCGAATAGCATTGACTTAACATAAGTGGTTCATCTTAAACTGACCTAATCACTAACTAATACATGTAAACTAAGCAAAAGTTTCAAAGTCAATAGACCATGACTGAGGGGTAAGGACCAAATATTCTCCATGGAAATGAGATGTTCTAATGCTTATACAACTGCATACCAATTGTCATTGACCTACCACTAACAGTTCCCCTTAAACTGACCTAATCACAAACTAATACATGAAAACTAAGCAAAAGTTTCAAAGTCAATAGACCATGAATGAGGGGGCAGGGCCAAATAATCTCCATGGAAATGAGATATGCCAAATGCTTATACAACTGCATACCAAATATCATTGACCTACCACTAGTGGTTCACCATAAACTGACCTAATCACAAACTAATACATGTAAACTAAGCAAAGTTTCAAAGTTAATAGACCTTGACTGAGGGGGCGGGGCGAAATTATCTCCATGGTAATGAGATGTGCCAATGCTAATACAACTGCATACCAAATATCATTGACCTACCACTAGTGATTCCCCATAAACTGACCTAATCATAAACTATTACATGTAAACTAAGCAAAGTTTCAAAGTCAATAGACCTTGACTGAGGGGTCGGGGCCAAATTATCTCCATGGTAATGAGATGTGCCAATGCTAATACAACTGCATACCAAATATCATTGACCTACCACTAGTGTTTCACCATGAACTAGACCTAATCACAAACTAATACATTGTTGCCGCTGCCGGAAACAGCAGACCTATGTCTTGCTTTTTGCCTCCGTCAAGACCAGACAAAAAAAGCAAAAGCCTGTCAACTGAAAAATAATTTGTACATGAAAATGGAGCTCTGTCAAAACATGTGGGCATTATCAAGTCTATAGATGTCCCAAGAAGCATGTATTGCTCCCCTGACATTTTTGCACAAAATTGATGCAATTCAACAAGAATATTTTAGTTGAATAGAAACTTGTGCAGGCCAAAATCTTGTCTTGATGATAATTTTTGCTGTTCAAAGTTTCAGTCTAAGTTTTGTTTCAAGGATATTAGGTAAAAGCAATTAATTTGGTTAATAAACTGCTGACACAGAGATATGTCTCGCCTGTCCGAAAATTTAGAAGAAGACAATCTGATGGACAGCACTATTATTTTTTAATTCAAAGTCGCTGGAACATGATCTTATGGGCAGGGCCTAGAAATGGTCGACAAACTGAAATGTACTGATAGTAATGCAACTTTTTAAAAATATCATTGATCTGTCACAAGTAGTTCTTATCAAACTGACTTAAGCAGAAAACTTAACATTGAAAATCGCTAATTAATTCAAAGTCACTGGACCATGACCTAGGGGGCAGGGCCTCAAAATAGTCGTCAAAAAGATATGTACTGATAGTAATGCAACCTCATACAAAATATCATTGATCTATCACAAGTAGATCCTATCAAACTTACTCAAGCAGAAAACTTAACATTGAAAATTGCTTATTAATTCAAAGCCACTGGACCATGTCCTAGGGGCCAGGGCCTCAAAATAGTCGCCAAACTGATATGTACTGATAGTAATGCAACTTCATACAAAATATCATTGATCTATCACAAGTAGATCCTATTAAACGAACTTAAGCAGAAAACTTACCAATTGTTGACGCCACCGCCGCAGCCGTCGCTGGAAAAGCAATCCCTATGTCTCACTTTCAGCGACTTTCTTTGCAGGCGAGACAAAAATCTTTATTTACAGGTAATAAATAGTACAAGAAGTTGACTGAAGCTTACAGTTTTGGCCATTTGTCTTATTTGTAGATTTTGTCTTACTGATAATTTTCACTGTTTTAAGTGCCTCTCTACCCGGTTAATATAAAGGTTATATACATATATATCATTGCCTAAATTAGCATGAAATATATTTGCATCTAAACCTGTTTAACATACAAACCTGGTCTCCATAACTCCTCACTACTACCAGAGGACAAATCTTCATCATTGTAGACATCTGAATTAGGATCACTTTTTTCACCAATCCAAACCATTCCATAATCTGCTAAAAATGTCTACAAACAAAGAAAATTTAAATAAAATTAACCCAAATCAAGTGTTCTTATAAAAATCTTAATATATTGTGCCTTGTGATAGTGTGTATGATTGTTTCTGTTGTGAATGAATGAAATTGTCTTTTTTAAGTAACTACCGTATTAATGGCAGTGTTTACAGGAAGACACTAACGGTCATTTTAATCTTGATGTAAGGTATTATCACTCAGGCTAATCGTTGACAATCTCCTGGCAACTGTTATCATGAAAGACAGCAATAAAGCACTTACAATAGCTTGTAAAAATTGAGAGAACTATTTTGCTTTTTCAATAAAGCTTCATGCTGAAATTTTGTTGTTAAGTATGTTTAACGTCAAGTTTCTAAAACTATCTCATTGTCATGATTTTTTAAACCCTTGCTAGTAAGTAGCATGGGGTGGGTGGTATATAGTTTTTGACCCATCTGTCAATATTTCGTTTTGGAATGCTAACTCAAATACTTTATCATATCTGATTGCAACCTTACTTGGATATATAGTACTGTCAAAAACATATCAGGAAACAAAAATTAATAGGAGACTCTAAAGTGTTCAGCAATCTCTGGAGTTATTCTAATTCCTTGTTTACAGTACATGTATATTTATTGAATTTGTATTGATAAACATTTTGCATTTCTATGCAAATGGTTTTTCATTCAAGATGTGCAATTTGATATTTGGTTTTATCAAAACAGGCTAGAACTGTCAGTTAAGCAGGACAAACATCTCATGCTTTCACTTTTGGAATAAAAATGTCAAAGGGCATAACTGTAGGATTTGTCGACAGACCAAGATAGCACCATAATATGCATAATATGCATTATTTCATGTTAGGATCTAACTATGTAAAAAGTTTCTAAACTTGTCAATGGTCTATGAAATGAGGTCACCTTCAGATGAACCATGCCCAACAGACAAGCACACCTTACAATCATTTCATACACCAAATATAGTGGTCCTATGGCTGATAGTATCTGAGAAACAGATCAAACCACAAAATCTAAACAATAAACAATGAACATGAGGTCAAGGTCATATGAACCCTGCCAGGCAGACATGTTCACCTCACAATCATTCCATACACCAAATATAGTTGATCTATTGCTTATAGTATCTGATAAACTGACAAAATTACGAAAACTTATCATTGTCCAATGAACCATGAAAATAAGGTGAAGCTCAGATGAAACCTGCCAGACAGACGGGTCTTTAATGAGTTTGGCCATAAACTGTTATTCATAACAGTACAGGAACAAGTCTGATATTAAAAAGCACAATTGGAGCCCATAGGAATACCTACAAACTGTCAATAAAATTTAACCTTGATCACTGATCCATGAATTGAGGTTGAGGTCAGTTAAACTCTACCTGATGGACATGTAGACGTTACAATGAACCCATATACTAAATATAGTTATTCTATTACTCATAATAAGTAAGTATTTCACTTGACAAAATAATTGTAAGTTTTTTTTTAAGCAGTCACTGAAACATGAAAATGAGGTCAAGGACAATGGACATATGATAGAAGAAAATTTTGTAACAAATGGTATCTGTATACAAGGTATGAAGCATACACATCTTTTTTAAAGCTTTAAACAAATAGTTTATGCCATCGCCACCGCCTCCAGATTGTAATTTATGTACCTATGTCTCGCAGCGAGACAAAAACTGGATTCCTTGCTTATCTTCATGTCATGATCTTAAAATGAGCAAAGTTTCATCAATATCTGATTAAGTATGTAAAGGAAAGGTGGGGGGTTGAAGGGGGAGTTGTGTCTAGAGAGTGCCATTTGAATAGCATCAAAGTTCAGGTGGGCATAACTCCAGAAATACTCAATGGAGAAAAATGCCCTTTCATGCTGAAAACTTGACACATCAAAATCTGTAAATGTACAAAGTTTGGTCTAAATCAGACAAAAGAGCAAATATAGGCAGATATACAGGTTAATTTCTATTTATCCTGCAACTTTGTTTGTGTGGGTATAATGATATCAGTATAAAAAAGATAACATCACCACACAAAGCACATTCTGCTGTTTCATTCATAAAATTAATTCGGAATATGAACATAATACTCAATTCTTAATCTAACTATGCCTACACAATAAAAGTGTATTTTCCATTGAAATTCACTTTTAGTTACGCATTGGACAAACGGTAGTAGTATTGAATTCATTAGACTGACCTCCATTTCATGGACATTTTGTTGCAGCAACAAACACTTCCTTTCTAATGCCTGTGTCTTACTATCAATGTCTTCTGCAAAAAAGGAAACATTCAACATTAAACTCACAAAGTAGAGCATAAGTGAACCCCAAGATAAAAAGTGTAAAGTATATTATCTTGTTACAACAAAAGTCATGGACATGTAGACCAAATTTTCCTGCAATTTGTTGTTTCAATTAGAATTTTTACTATAGCTTTTGGTAGGTATTAAAACGGATCTTGCTCAGGTGGAATAGCTTGATTCAAGTGCCTTTCTATCACATTTACTTCTTTTCCTTCAAAGCAATTTTGTTTTGAACATCAAACATCTTAGTAAACAGCTTTTTATAAGATTTAATTAGAATTGACAACTTTGATTATTACTTGTATTGCTTCACCTCTGGCAGATTTTTTTTATGACTAACGTTTCTAGCTGGCCCTTCTGTTTATGTGGCTGTTTGATGTCTACCTATACATACTGCCACTATTTATAAACTTTGTACAACTTCTAAAATCTTGTTCCATATAATCATGGATAAATACTTGATCAATATTAGTCTCACCTGGTGCTTTAGAAGCCTGCACAATCTGAAGTTTTTCTTCAAGAATTTTTATTCTCTTGTCCTGGAACAAAATAATTGATTAGTTTCACTTTCTTCTAAATTAATGAAAACACAACTGTCTTGTAGTCCAAAATGTCATATTATAAATATTCAACAGGAACAGTTGTAAAATCTTCACCATAATTCAAAATGTTCAACATGAGCAATGAATTAAACAAATAAAATCTATGAAAATTTTACCTGGAAAAAAAGAATCAAATGAAAATAAAAGAAAAGCAAGAAAAGGAAAAGTTATTAACTCTGAAGTTCTACCAGGAGACTCATGTGTTATTATCAATGACTGATATGTAGTCCATTCTCATGGGCTGCAACATCTTTTTAGTATAATATTCATTCTTTCATCAAAGTAACATATCTGTTTTATACCTACTGTAATAATCATACATGCAAAACAAATGTGTACTATGGATTTCTTTATTTTTGTGGGTACCAATTTTAGTGGATTAATAAAACTTGGGTATTTAATTTTGTGGTTTTGAACATTTATATTCGTGGTTCAACTTTACCCACAAAATGCACAAAAATTTGTTCCATGAATGATAAAGAATCTACAGTACACAATATGTTAAATGGTGTAGTTTTCACAGGATTCTTATTTCCATAACATTATTGCCACTGAACAGCTAAAGGTTATGCAAGCAGGCAAAGACTAGTCTAGCTCCCAAAACACGTAAATAAACTCCTCATTTTTATTTATAAAAACAAGAGTGCCAAACTGAAATGTCTTGCCTGCTTTACTGATCAATGATTTTATGTTGAAAATTTTAAAGATAAAGGTTTTACTACAAGTATCTCATAAATTTAACATTTCAAAAGATCCATGACAATAAGGTCAAGGTCAGATAAATCCTGTCAGACAGACATGTAAACCTTACAATTATTCTGTACACCAAATATAGTTGACCTATTGCTTATGGTAATTGATAAAAAGACAAAAATCAACCATGAAAATGAGGTCAAGGCCAGATGAAACCTGCCAGACTGACATGTGTCCCTTATAATCATTCCATTATTCCATACACCACATATAGTTGATCTACTGCTTATAGTACCTGAGAAAAAGACCTAATCAAGTAACTTTAACCTTGATTACTGATCTATGAAATGAGGTCGAGGTGAACCCTTTCTGACAGACATGTAGATGTTGCAAGGAACCCATATACCAAATATAGTTATCCTATTATTCATAATAAATGAGAAATTCACATGACAAAAAAACTATGACTTGTTTTCAAGCAGTTGCTGAACCATAAAAATGAGACAATGGACACATGACAGAGGGAAACTTCGTAACAAAAGGTATCTGACTATCTGCATACAAGTTATGAAGCATCAAAGTCTTCTACTGTCTGAAATATAATGCTTTATACAAATAGTTTACACCGCCACTAATCCCTATGTCTTGCATAATGGACTTTCGTTGCAGGTGAGACAATAATCTTTTTCTTGCTGAAGGTCTTCTTCCTAAATAAATGTGAAGCTTCAGTAAAATATATATTTTGTTGTAATTTTTCTTTGAAACTGGTCAGTGGTTGTCTTTAGTGATATCTTAGTGTTTCGTGTCTTTTATAAACACTTGTTTTTAATGGAAGTTTCTTGGTAATCTCTGTTAAATATTTTCACTTGTTTAACCTTGGAATGATTTAAGACTTGAGATAAGACATTAACACTTGTCTATGGATAAAAACCATAAACTGACTTCTAACTGTCTTGTGTTTTTGTTGTTGTTAGGTTGCAGCCTCTATTACATATACTTTTATTCAGTCATTACAATTGTACTGAAACCATCATATCAAGTTTTAAGGTCCTTGGTTGTTTCCTGTTAGCCTCGAGTGCGAATGGTCATGGGTTCGACCCCGGCCAGGTAAAAACAAAAGTTTTTTGAATTGTTATTTCCTGCTTCGCCACTAAGCATGTGGCATTAAGAAGTAAGGGCAAAGACTCTTTTGCTTGGAGTCAGAATGATGTATCATAGGGTGATATGTCTTCCTGTGCACTGTTACCTTGTGAAATAGCATGTTAAAAAATCTTTCTCAGCGTGTCAGTCTAGTACAAAGCAGGGTTAATATTCATTTTACATTAACATGTTCTTGTCCTGAATATGCATTTAATTTGCCACTGGCTGTCAAACAGTCATCCATCATCATATGAACCTACTTTTTCTGATATTTCTTTGCCTTGTGAAACAACTCTCGTTTCTAATGCTGTAATTTTACTCATCATGGCTGACATTAAATCATGATCGCTTGGAGCTGTAAAAGAGAGCGATACCAAAAAATAAAAAAATATACTTATAATAACTTGCAATTGTGGCAATTGAAAAATAAAATATTATGACAGAAATCACACAACTTGGCAAAACACAGTAATATAATATCCAAAATAAACATTTAATTTTCAAACTGACAATCAAAAGTGTTTATAACTAACAACAAATTTTTCTATCTGAAATTTATTGACAGTCATTAAAAATCATTTACTTTAACATACATTTTACAATTTATCAAAATTGAATACTGTACATTTATTTCCCGTGCCTGAGGGAGATGTGAAGATTTGTTCACCCAAGAAAATTCATATTTCACGAGGGCATCGCCCAAGGGAAATATGACTTTTCGAGGATGAACAAATCTTCATATCTCCCTAAGCCAAGGGAAATGAATGTTTTATTCCACTATCTGTACTTTTTTTACTTCCTGAACATAAAATATTAAATTACATATTTCTTTTTCTTATCCTCTTTTTTTTTATAACTGAACACAACATTAACAATGATAATCAGTACCAATTTGTTTTGTTCTTAGATCTGAAATAATTTTGAATACGAAATTTCTATACTAAAAAAAAACTTCAAAACATTATAAACAATTAACCGCACATAACATCGCACATGGAAGTCCCAACATTCAGAGGGTATATGATACTCAGAGGGGCATATGAAGTTTTGTTCAACGTCACGTGAGATAGTCTAAACCAATCAAATGTTGATTTTGCTTTCAATATTAACATGCAGTGGAATAAAATAAAAACATTTTTGATTTAGCAAAGATCAAGAGTTATTTATGTACAAGTATTGACGGTTTGTATCAAGCTTTTAAAGCATATAATATAAACAGTGAAACCTGTCTAAACGGAATCACTTCTGGACTTAAGATTTTGTTCAGTTTTGGCAGATATTCGGTTTAATAAGGTTCACAATAGATAAAATTTAATATGACTGGACTTGAGAAGATGAATGGTTTAGACAGGTTTTCAGTTTATGCAAGATTCGGTTTAGACAGATTTCACTGTATTGATTTTTTAATAAAATCAACAATTTTTCATTCGTTTTTAACTATGATAAAATAAGAGTTTATAAGTCTGATGACCAATTAACTACATTTGAACAATTTAGAGAAAAAAAGAAACAATAAATATACACATGTATTATGTATATGAATAAATGTCTGAAGAGTAGAAGGCCACACATTCTATATAAAACAAAGACAGACATAATCATATTCACTAAACAAAGATAAACAAACATTATCGACTATGTATAAAGTAAGGTTGTCTTAATGTATAAAGCAATTTCTTATTAGCAAAAACATTCACTATTTATATAAAGCATGTTTTTTGAAATGCAGAATAATTTGGAGAGCTAGGTTTTACAGTTACTATTGATGAATAATACCAGGATAATTTTACAATATACATATACATATATTTTTCACTTTGTGAACAGGCTTGTTCATTAATGATATTATATGCTTGTTTTTAAACTTGTTATATTTGGATATGATTAATTGAAAAAATGTCTGTTTAATGTTCAGTGAAAAATATTACATGTTTATTTAGAATGTAAATTAAGCATTAATTCATCCTTCGAAGACCTTCTCTGTACAAGAGATAAACGCTGAGTGCTATCTTACAAGGTAACAATCAAGAGGAAGTCATGTCAAACTACTGTAAATTCAAAAAAAATTGTGTATTGCTATTGTTGAACATTGGTATAAAAACATGAGTTAAATTATTGTGATTTCAGGAAACGGTGCATACAATAATGGTATCAAAATTTAAAATGTGAGTCATTTACAGTACCTAAACTCATTAAATGGACTACAACAAGCAGCAAATAACTATTTCAAAGTCTTTGATTTGACCTAGCTGAGGATTGCACCTATAACCCCCCACTCAAAAGGATCTCACTACCAAAAGACAACTGAGGTGGTTATATGTTATAAAGATTGTGATATATTTATTGTTTAATCACAATTTTAACTGCTTGATGAGTCAGGAATTGTTATCATTATTTTGTAGTAATTGCTATAATTGCAAACTACCTAATGTGAAATATTAACTGGTATAACTGCAGGGTACCTATAATGGTATGTATTACCAGCATAAAGGTGAGTCTAAAAGTGAGGTTTTGGATTATCTTGGTATCATGTCTATTTCTATGTAGTTATATGATTACTTTTCCTCAAAATACATGTATTATCAAAAACAAATTGTATTACTTAGAAAGTCATTTAATATTTTTTTTTTATTACTATTAGAAAGATTAAGTAAAATACAGCGTGTTATATTCCTTACAAATGCAAATGTTACAATCAATAATTGATTTTATAGATGTACTGCAGTCAAACAAGAAATAGCTTTGAAAGTGGCAAAACACTACATGTATGAGTCAATATAGTAAAGTACAAGATATTACAGGGTGCTGTGCAAGTAACTTTTATTATCATTTATTGACACAAAAGACCATCTCAACTTATACATGGTTCTGTATTAATTCTATAATCTGTTTTCTAAAGAACTAGGTAAGACATGTGATGTAAATAATAAAGAGGAATCATAAAATCAGTCAGTTTACTCCCCTTTAAAAAATCTGTGGTTTGGTAGGACCACACTTTAGTTAAAATTGTCAATTATGATCAATATTTTGTAATTGCATTTATAATCATATTTCTGTTCACAGTTAATTACATTTATTGTTTTTAAGTTAGTAATTGTTATCAATTGTTATGATCTGAAGTTTGTTAGTTTAACAATGAATTCTGTAAAGAAAAGACTGAGACATAAAATCTTTGTGTTCATAAAGGCTGACTAAGAGAACTTTCACTATATGATTATATACTTGTTAGATATTGGTTTAGCTGTGGAACCGGTCTGCAAATTGTCAAAAAAGATCATAAGGACCTAATAACTACAGTTCCGCAGCTAATATTGGTTATGCTGCATGCATATAAGTGCTAGCAAGCCTGACTTACCTGTCAGAAAAGTATTGTGATTGTGGAAATCATAGGTGTTACGATCAAAGTTGTTACGATCGTAGGAAGAGGCACTGGGAGGTCTTTCTACAACAGTTATCATACACAACAACATTACAAATACAACACTTCCATCACCATTGTACAAATACAAAATAATGTGTGCAGATGTGACTTAAGTATATTAATAATTGCAACTTTCCTTTTTCCATCAAAACTCAAAAGTATGCATAAATCTATAACCAAAAGCAAAATAACCACCTACTAAGGTTTACTTACGTTTACCCTTATTAATATATATTTCATTTAAAATTTTCTTTTTGTTTTTTAAATTCAGCGCAACAAAGTATAAGACTCAACAAGTGTTCACACCCTGAACAGCCTGTTAACCATCAGAAACTAATAAATACCCTACCTAATGATGATGTATTAGACATTCTAGGAGTATTCTGATTGGACAGTAGACCACGTGTAGTATCTAGTTTTGGAAGACCTCCAATGAATGGATCTCTCAATTTCATCCTAGCTGTAGCCATATTAGTTGTAATTTCTTCCAGAAGTCTACTTTCATCCTCTGTAAATTAAAAGAAGGGTAATTGTAATATAACTGATAGAACATAAACACAAACAATCTATGATTACATAGTAACCTTATTTGAACACAAACAATCTATGATTACATAGTAACCTAATCTGAACACAAACAATCTATGATTACATATTGACCTAATCTGAACACAAACAATCTAGGATTACATAGTGACCTAATCTGAACACAAACAATCTAGGATTACATAGTGACCTAATCTGAACACAAACAATCTAGGATTACATAGTGACCTAATCTGAACACAAACAATCTAGGATTACATAGTGACCTAATCTGAACACAAACAATCTAGGATTACATAGTAACCTAATCTGAACACAAACAATCTAGGATTACATAGTGACCTAATCTGAACACAAACAATCTAGGATTACATAGTAACCTAATCTGAACACAAACAATCTAGGATTACATAGTGACCTAATCTGAACACAAACAATCTAGGATTACAAAGTGACCTAATCTGAACACAAACAATCTAGGATTACATAGTGACCTAATCTGAACACAAACAATCTAGGATTACATAGTGACCTAATCTGAACACAAACAATCTAGGATTACATAGTGACCTAATCTGAACACAAACAATCTATGATTACATAAATGTAGTAATCTTTTTTGAACATTTGAGGAATCATTTTGGTAGGTTAAATTGATTGACTGTTGGTGGAGGAAGCTGGAATGCTTAGAGATAACCATCAACCTTTGACAGGAAAACTAGCAATCTAGCAATCCTAGTCAATTATAAAAGATAACAGTCAAATGCACATTGGCATGAGTGGGGTTCAAACTCACAACCACAGTGTTTTTGAGAGAAGCCATATATTCAATATTATATAGTAATAAAATGCTCCGCAGGGTGCAGCTTGATACGACCGCAGAGGTCTAACCCTGAACAGTTGGGGCAAGTATGGACACAACATTCAAGCTTGATACAGCTCTGAATTTGGATTGTGATTAAATATTTGACACAGCATAGGTTTCTGACACAGAATGAATGTGGTCTAAGAACTTAAAAGTTTTAAATTGGACATTCACCTATTATGGTCTAATATCCAAAATCTAAATACATGGTTAGATTCAGCATATCAAAGAACCCAAAGATTTCAATTTTTGATGAAATCAAACAAAGTTTGATTTTGGACCCTTTTGACCTCAATGTGGACAAAGTTGATAACAGGGCCCAAAAATCAAAAATCTAAATTCATGGTTAGATTCAGCATATCAAAGAACCCCATATATTCAATTTTTGTTGAAATCAAACAAAGTTTAATTTTGGACCCCGATTTGGACCAACTTGAAAACTGGGCCCATAATCAAAAACCTAAATACATGTTTAGATTCAGCATATCAAAGAACCCTAAGAATTCAATTTTTGTATGGACACAACATTCAAGCTTGATACAGCTCTAAATTTGGATTGTGATTAAATATTTGACACAGCATAGGTTTCTGACACAGAATGAATGTGGTCTAAGAACTTAAAATTTTTAAATTGGACATTCACCTATTATGGTCCAATATCCAAAATCTAAATTCATGGTTAGATTCAGCATATCAAAGAACCCCAAGAATTCAATTTTTGATGAAATCAAACAAAGTTTAATTTTGGACCCCGATTTGGACCAACTTGAAAACTGGGCCCATAATCAAAAATCTAAATACATGTTTAGATTCAGCATATCAAAGAACCCTAAAAATTCAATTTTTGTTAAAATCAAACTAAGTTTAATTTTGGACCCTTTGGACCTTAATGTAGACCAATTTGAAAACGGAACCAAAAATTGAGAATCTAAATACACGGTTAGATTCGGCATATCAAAGAACCCCAATAATTCAATTTTTGATGAAATCAAACAAAGTTTAATTTTGGACCCTTTGGACCTCAATGTGGACCAATTTAAAAACGGGGCCCAAAATCCAAAAACTTAATACAAGGTTAGATTCAACATATTAAAGAACCCCAAGAATTCAAGAATAAAACCCCATTGAAATTTGTCAAGAAATAAGCAATTTATACGAAGTATCTTCTTTTGCACAATACTGTGCAATTGAATATTTCTTGCTTGCGCAATACTGTACAATTGACAATTTCTTGCTATTGCGCAATATTGTGCTATTGGATATTTCTTGCTATTACCCAATACTGTGCAATTGAAGATTTCTTGCTATTGCGCAATACTGTGCAATTGAAGATTTCTTGCTATTGTGCAATACTGTGCAATTGAAAATTTCTGGCTATTGCACAATACTTATTATATAATAATTTACACATCCTGTTTGGTGTGTATCTCCTACCATATCATTATTATTTGCTTTTAAATATAAATCAGAAATAACCAACTTAAAATGGAAAATTTTAAAAGAAAAAAAAAGGAAAAAAAGAAAAAAAAGGAAAAAAAAAAATCCCCCCCCAAATTTTTTGAACCCCCTTATGATTCATCACCCCCAAACTCAATCCCAGCCTTCCCTTTGTGGTATGGTACCTTGCAGTACAATTTCAGAGAGATCCATACACTTGAACACAAGTTATTGTCTGGAAACTAGAAAAATGTGTTTTTTGGCCCCTTTTTGGCCCCAAATTCCTACACGTTTAGGGCAATTACCCCTAAACTCAAACCCAGCTTTTCCTTTGTGATATGAAACCTTGTAGTACAATTTCAGAAAGATCCATACACTTACACACAAGTTATTGTCCTGAAACTAGAAAAATGCTTGTTTTTTGCCCCTTTTTGGCCCCTAATTCCTAAAATATTGAGGCAATTACCCCCAAAATCAATTGCAGCCTTCCCTATGTAGTATGGTACCTTGCAGTACAATTTCTGAGAGATCCATACACTTGAACACAAGTTATTGTCTGGAAACTAGAAAAATGCTTATTTTTGGCCCCTTTTTTGGCCCCTTATTCCTAAAATTTTGAGGCAATTACCCCCAAAATCAATTGCAGCCTTCCCTTTGTGATATGGAACCTTGTGGTACAATGTCAGAGAGATCCATACACTTACACACAAGTTATTGTCTGGAAGTTACAAAAATGATTATTTTTGGCCCCTTTTTTGGCCCCTTATTCCTTAACTGTTGGTACCATAACCCCCAAAATCAATCCCAACCTTCCTTTTGTGGTTTTGAACCTTATGGTAAAATTTCTCAGAGATCCATTCACTTAAACTAAAGTTATAGTGCAAAAACTAATGTGTCTTCAGACGACGACGACGCCGCCAACGTCATACCAATATACGACCGCAAAATTTTTGCGGTCGTATAAAAATACATGAGATGCAAACTCAGGTCAAATTGGAACTGGATCTGCTTTAAGTGGTCTTATTTTTTTTTCCAAATTTCAAATGATTAGGTGGAGGCTTACTCATGTTAGCATCCAGAAACCACTTTCAGGAAGTACATACAAAATAGATGTACAAACAAGTGGACAAGTAGAAAAGTTTTCACACTTTTTCTTAGAAAGAGATATAATTACAATTTATATATTCTATAAAATCAAATATTTGACAAAATAAAGTTTTGGATCATTAAAAGCCAACATGTCAGCATACCTTTCTGCTGAGTTCCATTCCCCAACCATGCCTCCCAGAGGTGGATTTGAGGGGGGGGGGGCCTTATTGAGCGTCATCTATTATAAATGCAAAGACTTTTTACAAGTATCACTCCAAACCTCATTTAAAATTAAATGCATTTTTATCCAGCAATTACAACAACAATCCAATAACTTACTTGACTCAAAATATTTCCATCTGTCCAGCATCCAAGCCATGGTCAAAAGAATTTATTAATCTTATAAAGAATGAATTATAATCCACCTGTCAATTTCTTTCCATAAGGAAAATCAATTTATATTCATCCCCAATAAAAAAAACCAATACAACGATATTAATTCTGTCTATTCTCTCCCATTGTATCCTATGCCGTGGTAAATGCACATTTCTTTATCAAACAACTGCTCATATCCTTGATAAAATTCAATTTACAATCAATAATATCAAACACATTTTGGCATATACTTTATATTAATAAAAGTTCCTACATGTTTTACTTTGACTTTTACTATCTGAAAACTTCTATAGATAATTAACATATCTGTACTCTGAAAAGGTACTAATTTTAATTATGATAAATATTGATTATGGTGTTCTACCATGAACCTCAGTGAAGCAAATCTTGTTATATATTTATTTAAATAAGGCCAAATATAAAAAATGAAGATTTCAGGTAATATAGTGCTGCTAGATTTTATTGTGATTGATATTCATTTTATCTTTAACATATGATGTCTCCAGCACAGATTGCATATTAAAAATGTTATCCATTTTCATAAGTACCTTTGGATAAAAATTTAATAAAAAGGCATAAAAATAAGACACCATGTGTTACCCAAGACATATCTACATTCAACTGAGCCTTAATCTTAATGAACATATTAATCTTTGGTATAAGTTTATTACAGACATGTTTAACTCCTTTTAAAGTACACTGATGAGATATGTATACAAACAAATGATTTAAAGATTAAAATATTGTTTAAAACCAATGTGTCTTTACATGCTCCAGAAATCAATCAACGATTTACAATCTTTAATTGATGAAATTAAAAGATTTGTTTTGGTATTAAGGCCACCATAGTGAAGAAATTTGAAGCTATTCCTTGTACAAATAAATGAACAGAAGGGATCTTTACTATTGTGGAATATTCACTCATTATATATATATCTATTTCACAATAATTCTACATGCAAAAACGTGCATGATAATCTGTTCATTGTACTATTTTGAATTCTTTCTATAACAAGAGTGTACATGGCATGATACTGAAATGTATCGCCTGCTTTATTGATCATGATTGAATTCATGTTGAAAGATCAAGGTTTTACTACAGGTATCACATAAACTTAACATCATCAATGATCCATAAAAATGAGGTCAAGGTCAGATGAACTCTGCCATGCAGATAAATATACTTTACAATCATTCCATGTACCATATATAGTTGATCTATTACTTATTGTATCTGAGAAACAGACCTAACCATGTTTGATTTAATATTGAAGAATTTTCATTGATACTAAAGTTATACTTTTAGAAAGGATTGAGTTCTGTTTAGAGAGTTTTTTCTTTAAAGTCTATTAGTATCTAACAATTCTTAAATGGTGTTTGAAAACATTAAAAAATTCATATACCGGTAATGGCGCCAAATTGTTGTGAATATTGGCTGATTTCGACCATAAGGAAACACAGATAGCTATTCCAAATAAGTTCTTAATACCACCTTTGAAATAGTTGTAACCTTTTTTTTAAACCTTTCTTTTTATCAAAGATTTGCTTTAAACTGGTTAGTCTGATCTATTCATATATATAATACAGGAATTGTGGGTAGAAATTGATCTGTCTTACAAAATTACCTGAATATTCTGGATGTCTGAAGGGTAGTGACCTTGACCTGAAATAAATTAAACAAGTAAATGCAAAATTAATTATACATATCTTAAATAAAAAGGTTGCACTTGAACTTGTGACCTCTGAAGTTCTGTATAATTCTATTTACAGAATATACTATGTAGCTGAAGATAAGGAAAAGCCAATTTCATGGAAAAATATGACTTTCTATAAAAAATAATATATCACTGGTTTATAAACAATTGCTTTTATAAAGAAAACAAAGTTCATTATATATACATATACTTTGCTGCTACTCCATTTTAAAAATCATATACAAATATCTCATTCAAATTTTCCATTCACATGTACATTGTATATGTAAAATGCAAATATTCAATATCTGATTAAAAAATTGGTCCTTTTCACAAGGTTTACTTTCTCTCAGGTACATTTTCATAATCCCTTTGTATATTTACATTATTACATACCGGTAAACTGTCCTCTATTTTACTTTTACTATCAGATATTATATTGATCGGCTGTTCAAATTTTAATCAAAAATGTTATCAGGCTATCATCTTCATTTTACTAATAAAAAAAAAACAAAACAAAAAAGGCCATTGAAAGTTTTTTTTGTTTCAAGAATTTTTCATTGTAAGTAGTTCTCCTAAGCTGATCATGAAATCTTCTAGTTTTTATTTGTTTTGACAATGATTCCTTTGATAATGGTAAACAACAAGATAGTCTTTGTTCTGCTGATTACTCAATTATATTCAAATATGAACATAAACATACATATATATACTAATAAAGGACAAAAATTTCATTTGTTCAAAAGTGATTTTTATCTTATAGTTTGTATTCACAAAGAATGATTTCAAAATGTAATTTTAGGTTATAAATGGTTTTATAAGTACTTTTCCTGTTACATTAGGATCAGGTGACTAGAGAGCTACAAATCGTGAAAGAATTACAATGGTTTTTACCCATTTCATTATACACATTTTGTTAAATTTCCAGATTCAGTTTATAATGCATTCTTTTTATTTTTCATCTAATTTTAATTTTGAGAAACAGACCTGAGCACAATCATAAACAGAATTACATTTTTATGAGTATTCTTTCTTTTCTATTCCATAAAAACCTAGATTTAAATCATGATATACATAGAATAACATTTAAATAGTTTTATTTCAACAGGATGAAATTCATTAACCTTTCTTAAAAAAGCAAATTAAAGAAAAAAAGACATTGCAAGCCAGAGTATTAATCTCTACATTCTGTATGAACTTTTCAACCAACATCAATTAATATATTACATATATATCAGTAGTTGATAGAATTTCTCAGTTGGTATGAATTAGGGGCTGTAAATTAAGAGACAAAAACGAGTAACAAAACTCTTTGAAATCATGTATATACATGACCCATTCTAGGAAGTCAACACAAAAGGTTAAATGAATAAAGATACTTAATTTCTTGTGGTTAGATACCAATAAAATGGACTGTGACAGTAATTAGACAGCAGCCCATTAACAACAAAAACAAGACATATCTACATGTCAACATACAGTTTTAACAATAGACTTGTGTCTTCATGTGATAACCTTAACTTTACATGTGTCCTTGAATGACTGGTCTTTTTTTCATAGAAAATTCTGTTTTAACAGAAAACAGGAGAAAGTTAGTACTGTGGTCTCATTATTATTCGTTGGGTACCAATTTTTGTGGATTTCATGGGTACAGCTAAACCATGAATTTATTAAAATTCAACGAATTACAAATTCTCTATAGGCTTGTATGCAGACAATCGCAAAACCACGAAATCAAATATCCGTGAATAAGCAAGTTTTCCTTGTTCCACGAAAATTGGTATACATGAAAATAAATGAATCCAGTCAGTACTGTATTTTTACCATTCTCAAAGAAGTATGTATTTACCATCTTCAATAGCATGTAACCATCTCCAGTTATTTTCAAACATGACCTATCAGTCTCAGACTGAGAATGATATTATTAGTGAAAACACATAAGATCACCACAAAATGAAGAAGACGTCACAACAAACGTGCAAGTTGCTACCTAAAAAGTTAGATGGTTTGTGCTTTTCATGTGTTAGTCGGTGAAACTCAATAAAGGGGACATTTACAATTGGTTTTTAATATGTTTGCTCGACAGCTAACTCATATATAGAAAGAAGTCAGTCTGTTTTTAAATTTGGAATTGAGTTCTTTAACTTCAGGCAAAATTTCAAGATTCTATCTTGAAACATAATAGTTTTATGAGCACCCTTCATTTCAGCTCAACCAGTCAATAATGTAAGGTTTAGAAAATAATAGTGCTTAATATCTCAATGTCTCATTTCCTACTGTGCTCAAACATGTCTTACTTCTCAATGTAAGCAGTGCACATTCATTGGATTATACATGTATTCACATACTCCATTGCTTATAAACGGTATATAATGCATCTTACCTGGACTTTTTTACCTTTTTACCACCATCTAATTTTCGACTTTTTGAAGACCTAAATTTATTTTAGATAAACAAATTAAAACTAAAAAAAAAATAATAGTTAAATACAGCTATCAAAATTTTATTTTAATTTTATATTATACAACTTATTGTTTATTTTATATGTTACTGGTAATTGTTTGTTTGTTTTTGCCTTTTATTTTTTCACTGTATACAATGTATTTAATTTTCTTTCTTTTAATTTTTTTTTTAAGTTTCAATTACATATTCCCATATGTACATATAACAATTCAATTAAAGAAAAAAACAAATATGACAGACATGAACCAAACACAACCACTGGGTGTAACAGCACAACATAAGAACAAAATTAAAAAATCAGTTGCAAATGGCTTAACTCAATAAATTGGTAAGAAACACAAAAATAACTAACATAAAAACAATAGACACATATATAAAAATAAGGAGATGTGGTATGATTGCCAATGAGACAACTATCCACCAAATTTCAAATAAAGTGGATGGAAGCAATTATAGGCAACCGTACGGCTATGCTTGTCTCATGGACAATGACCCAAAACTATTGGTGGTGGCTCAAAAGATGTCACATTAAGTATGGTAGATATACTTAAACTTCCTTAAACCTTAAATTTAGCTACCTTGATAGAAGCACCATGAAATTCAGGTCACAACATGGCTACCAAGCAGACTGAACTTAGTGATGAAAGTAAAGACGAGTGAGCATGGAGTAAGAATATTATATCTGGGTATAGTGACATGTTTCCTATAGACTGTTACCTTGTCAATCATCATGTTAAAAATCTGTTTTGAAATGTCAATCTAGTACAGGAGTAATACCACCATTGTTTTTCACATATTAGTCTTTGTTAAATTGGCACTTTTTAAAAAAATTATGCAGAATTTATCTTTGTTTCAAATAAAGAAATACTTGCCATGAGTAAAGTTTTATCCTGTCCAATACTAAAGACAAAATTTCACATCCATCACTGGAAGTTAACCAATCAAATGTTCACCCCTTTTTTCCTGTTTACAAGCTTTAGTTACCATATAATCTCCAAGTTTCCCAAATATTTTATAGAAACACCAAATAAAATAAATGGGGAATGTGTCCATGGGACACAGATGATGCCCACGCTTGCATATAATATAGTTATAAAGGGACATAACTGAAGAACGGTAATAGTGACGCCACCCAAATTTTAACTTGCTCTGTATTTTGTGGTAATAAGCATTGTGTATAAGTTTCATAACATTTGGTTGAGGTAAACTGAAGTTAGAGAACGGAAACGAAAAGTTCAGTAATTTTTGCATATGTAAACAAGCAAAAAAGAGAGTTGTCTCATTGGCACTCATGCCACATCTTCTTATATCTAATAACTCTAGAATGGTGAAAGTGACACCACCAAAATTCAAAGTTGATCTGTATTTTGTGATAATAAGCATTGTGTTTGAGTTTCATAACATTTGGTTGAGGCAAACTAAAGTTAGAGAACGGAAACTAAAAATTCAGCAATTTTTCCATTTGTAAAGGGGCATAACTCTAGAACGGTTAAAGTGATGCCACCAAAATTCACCCTTGATCTGTGTTTTGTGGTTATTAGCATTGTGTATAAGTTTCATAACATTTGGTGGAAGCAAACTAAAGTTAGAGAACGGAAACCAACTTTGGGACGTACGGACGGACTTACTGATGTACAGACGGACATGGGTAAAACTTATTGCCCTCTCCGCTATGGCAGGGGCATAAAAAGAATAGTGCTTTGAAAGACCCAAGATATATGTTTATGACTCAGAATTTTTTACTGCAATGAAATGTACGATTAATTTCCTACAACTGTCAAATTCAAGGGAATATTTTTTCAACCCTTTTTTGTATGAAACCGCATGTGATGTACTATGATTTGGTGGTATTACACCTACAAAGCAGGGTATGTTCATCTAACAGTAGCATGATTTTGTCCAGAATATTCTGCTTTTGCATGCAATATTTGTCAATTAACATGAATAAATTAATCCATTAAACTACCTCAAAACTTAACTTCACAATGAACCGACATAAACTAATCATTAGTCCAATAATAGTTCAGAAAGTGACCCTAAAACGGGCTCACATAATAAATCCCCAAATGTGCACCTAAATCAATCTTTAAAAAAAGTTTACTTTTTTGTCTAAAGACTTTAAGTTTGTATATTCATTATAAATTTTGTCATATTTTTAACAAAAATCTCATTCTGCAATTTTACCTTTTTAAACATATTTTTCTTTCATTAGGATGATATATGTACAAGTAAAAGGTTCATATGGTTAGCATGTGTGCATATGTATATACTTAAATAGATTTGTATACTTCATGCAGGGACAGAGGACAGACACTTACATGTTACTGGGATACATGTACATGTATGTGACAAGTTTTTCAGGATCGACAACACATTTAATATGAATACAATTTACAAAACAGTATGGAACACAGACCACTACATGTGAAACATTGTTTCTCCCACCTCAAACACTCTTACCTATCTGTAAGACTGTGTTCCATTTGGTCCAATCTCCTAAAAATAGCCACAGACTTAAACAATTGGTAATAAATGTCAAAGTTTTATACAACTTGAATATCAAATTAATCTAGAAAAAATAATAAAGTTGTACTTCATTCAGGTTGCACCTTAAAATAAGAAATATGATGGGTTAATAATAACATTTAAAAAAATATTTCACCTACATCTATTTGCCTTGTGAATTATCAATGTGAATATAATTCAAACTTTATTTCTAAAGATAAGTCATGTAAGGTTACACCACAAAATCATGTTATAAATATCCATTAGTAGAAATTTAGAGTTAGTTCCCTGTGGTAAATTCCTGCAGTAGATTTAAGAATTCTTAATTATTTAAAGCAAAAATATGAAATCATCAACGTAAGGGTAAGTGTTATTGCATATATATCAATGCAATTAATTGGAATTTAGACAGATCTTGACTGAATTTGTATTTTAAATGAAAATATTTTTTTTATCACAAATATTGATTGTTTGATTTTTTTCTTCATTTATTGATTTTGGTGCTTAATGCCCTGTTAAGCACTATTGACTATATTGTGGCAGTCAGTTTTTAATGATGGAGCAAGCTGGAGTGCCCCGAGAGAATCATGACCTTCAGCAGGAAAACTGACATCTTATCATATTAACATTAATATCATTTTTTAATGTTACCAGCAAAAGAATAATGAGATGTTTGAATGGACCCCTATGTACATGCCTGAATATACATGTATTTTGTGGGTAGAGCTTTTAAGAATCAGGGTCTGTTGGCCCTAGTACCTGTTCACCCTATTGACCCTAATACCTGTTTGCCCTGATTCTTATTTTGTTGTCTAATGGTACATGTATAATATATTATTGGAATATCTGCTAAAGTGTGTGTTGAAAATTTCGTCAAATATTTATGCTGTATTGCATGCTGCTATCACATAATTGTTTACATTTTTACACTAATTTGAGGGGTGTCATAATGTCCAGCATTTATTAGAGAAGAAAAAATAAAAATCTAACTAAGAATTTTTTTGTTTTTTGTTTTTTTGTAAAAATTACATATTTGTACTGTTTGTTGTTTATTTGTGTTATTTCATGTTTTTAGTAGCAATCCAATTGTTTAGATTTTATACTAACAAATATCCTATCATAATTATTTTCCTTTGATTTGCACTCAGTGACTGAAGTGCACAGGAACACAAGGATATTTAATATTAAACAGCCAAAAGATATGTATCTTGGTTTTTTTCTTTTTTCATTGTTTTTTCTCTCTTCTTTTATTCTTCTTTCTTTTCTTTTTACCTATTTTATCCACTTCCATATTAGAACAAATTTGTCACTGAAAGCACACTTGAGATCAAACAAGCCAAGCTGTGAAAATAAATTCCCTTACAATTCGTACATGTACATTGTACATGCTTTGTTTTTAATCATTCTAAGCTGACAAGTTTGATCTTTAAAAACATGTATGTTACTTTCTTTGTTTAACCATCAAAGACGATACAAATGCAACAATCAGTGAGATAAGAGACATCATAATTATACCTTGTTAGCAGAATAATTAAAAATCAATAGAATCAGTTCTAAATAAAAATTTGTAAGGGGTTCCGCGGAACACAGTGCCCCGCCTGCTATTGCTGCTGTCGGCGTAAAAGGGTTATGTTGACTTAAAAAAGTGAGTCCATTTATCAGTTAAATACAGAAATTTAAAAAAAAATATAAAAACTATATATTAAAGTCCATCTATCAGTAAGATACGGGAAAATGAATGTAAATATTTTCAAAATTTTGTTCTGGATACTCTATTTTGGTTATACAATGTACATGTATCAAGCTTCTGTCCAAATTTCGTAAAATTCCTTGAAGGTTTGACAACGTTATTGATGATTGAAAAACTTTAACCTCAGACTGAATCTGAATGTATATTTGTAAAAAAAACTTAAGTCCATTTATCAGTAAAGTACGGAAAAATGAAAATAAATATTTTCAAAATTTTGCTCTGAATACTGTATTTTGGTCATAAACAAGCTTCTGTCCAAATTTCCTAAAATTCCATGGAGGTTTGAAAATGTTATGAATGTCTAAAAAAACTTTAACCACAGACTGAACCTAAATGTTGACGCCGCCGCTGTCGGAATCTAGGATCGCTATGTCTTGCTTTCGCGACATAAATGTCGCAGGCTCAACAAAAATGAATTTAAGATATGTATTTTCTTTAATATTTATCAAATAAATATCAGCATTAATACCATTATTATTTATATTTATAATTTTTGTTAATAGCCATAGGGGGAACAGACCCCAGGGGAACGATCTATGGGCTAACGAACCCAGGGCAAACAGACCCAATATTAACATTTAAATAAAACTTTGAATTGAATTGGGTAACAATAACTGCAATTTCTGTATGAAATCAAGTCTCTGTCCAGAAATACATTTCTACAATTACATGTTGTCTCGGGAGTAACAATAATTATTTCTTATTGTTATTTTTTGCAGCTTGTTGTAGCCATTACAAAATAAAAAAGAATTAAAAATACATGTAGGTGAACAGGCTAAAAATAGTACAATGAGAATAAAACGTACTGTCATACATGTATATTGAGAATGACTTTAAACTCACCCTGGTAGTAGAGACTGTTTGTGTGATTTCTTCAAACTTGACAGTGGTGAACTCATTCTGATGATAAAACGTTATTTCACTTCCATCGACTTATGTAAATGTACATGTCATATTCTTTTGTTATTTTTTGCCTGCGTAAATATTTTGTGAGTTAACGTGGTTCAGTTCTTGTCGATGAGGATCTCAGCTAGTTGTAATTTAAGAAGAACTTCCACTGTGTTATATGGTAATCGAAGTAACAGCAACAGGTTTTATCATCTTCATGAAATAAAACATATAGAAAATGCTTAGAAATCAATAGACCACATTTTTGTTTGTTTACTTGCCACCGGAACTACCATGAAATACAAGTGTATGCAGAACAGTATCGGATTAATAATTCCGTATTCACATAACCGTAAGCAGATTTATCTTAGAACAAGGATTTGTATAGTGAGAAGTGTCGATATACCGCGAGATTCCAATCCTTCTCACTATACAAATCCTTGCCTAGAACAAGTATTTGTATAGTAAGATACAAATCCTTGGATAGAATGAGTTGGAATTTCTGGATTTTTTACAAATACTTATATGGTCATGTAAAAGTTTAATGCAGCTGTATAATCTACGATTTTTTTTTCTATCGGTTGTTTATTTATTATTAGCCACTTGAAATCATAGAATGGGACTAAAAGGTATTTAATATAGCTTCGGATTCACTTAAAATAAGCTTTATTTAGAGTCAGCATAGTGTACAATACAAGACATAACAATGCAAGACATAACAATGCAAGACACTAACAATACAAGACATAACAATACAAGACACTAACAATACAAGACATAACAATACAAGACACTAACAATACAAGACATAACAATACAAGACATAACAATGCAAGACATAACAATACAATACATAATACGCATGAAATAAGTTACATAACACAAAATGAAGCACTATAATTAGGCATGTTGGTAATGAGCAGATTGTAAGCATGATACTTTAGACGGTATTAAAGCTAAAAGCTAAAAGCATACTAGGCATTAAAGCTAAAAGCATATAAAATTTTAACTAAGCATGATTAGAAAGCTGGTAAAATGCATACTGCGCATAAGATATTGAAAATAGGATATGATCTAAATGGTAAAAATTTAACATAATATATTAATTTATAATCTGTACAAACTCTGCACTTTCAGTCATTTCCATTACATGACTTTAAAATATTTTTAAACTGATCGAAACTAGCAATTTTTCGAAAATCATCATTCCATAAAACAGCAGCTGTGAATTTAAAAGATTTCTTACCATAGGTTGATGTTCGAACCCTAAGTATATCTACAATATTAGAATATCTAAAATTATATTTACAATCTTTCAATACAACAAAATCATGTAAACATTGTGGTGATAATTTATATAATCTACATAAAATTTTAAAACATTATAGCCATGTTACGCATACGTCTAATTTTCAGTGATGGAACCTTTGCTCGTACAAGTAATTCATCATAAGAACTAACACAGTCTTCTTATAGAAGTCGTAAATCCCTTTCCTGATTTTTTTTTCTAATTTAGTGGTATTATTTTTGTTGCAAAAATGCCATGCCAAAGGACAAAAATTAAAATTAGATAAAATAAATGTGTGAAAATGGTCAATTTATTTAATTGAGTAAGATAGCCGGCAACCAATGCGCTTTAAAACATTCAGTTGTTGAGATGCTTTACGACAAATATTTTAAATGTGGTGATCAAAATTAAGTTGATAATCAATATCAATACATAAAAGTTTGACAATCTCATCGCATGATATTTTAGCTGACTGTATATTAAAAACAGGCTTCTTTGCAAATGTTTTATTTCCAACTGCAATGGTTTGGAATTTATCAGGATTTGCCTGCATACAATTAAATTTAAACCAATCAATTCAAATAGCACTTTCTCTTTCAAGTATACATGATAAATTTTCAAAATCGTTGTCAGCATATGACTGAGTATTATCGTCAGCATAATTCTATAGGGTTCCATGTTCAATAAAATAGAATATGTCATTTATAAAAATATTAAATAATTGAGGTCCGAGGATTGGGTAACAACACATTTCGGCACCCAGACAAATCGGCACCCAGGTCCGAAGACATTTCGGCATCCGTTTTGGACATTTTGGGATCAGGACATTTCGGGAACAAGACAATTCGGCACCGCATTTTTTCTCTATTTATATTAAGAAAAATGAAAGAATTCAGAGGATTGAACCTTGGGGTACCCCTTTCTGGATATCAACCCAAATGTTGAGTACTCCCTGAAGTTTGATTTGTTGCCTACGATCTGTAAGATAATTTTGAAGTAATTTCACTAATTTTGAAGAAAGACCATAGGCAGATAATTTACTTAAAAGACTGTTATGTGATAGACAGTCAAAAGCTTTTGAAAGATCCATAAGTATTGCTGCCACATACATATTTTTATCCAGAGCAGTTTTCCAATCTTCAAGGAGGCTCAACAAAGTTGTCTGACATCCATGACATTTTCTAAATGCACATAAAAAAGCATGAAATATATTTTCACAATATTCATGATTACTTTTATATTTCAAAGCTAAATCATGTTGATATATTAATATTCAAAAGTTCACATTAGCTAGTCCTATATAGAACAACTTAAGGCATCATGTTAGTAGGACGGAGATTTCTTTTTAAATTACTATAAACTAAATATATAGGGGAATGTGTGTTTCAATAACAAATAATAATTTAGCTTATGCTATCCGACGTAATTGTTGAAATTTTAAGTGCACTTCTAACTCGTAATGGTGTCTGATTTTCTTTGAAATATAATCAAACTAAAATTTATGCATATTAAATTCAGCTTATTTGTGAAAATATACCATAAGATAGAAGCCGGACAAACCCGATGATTCCCTAGTTGGCACTACTTAAATTTCTACCAAGCACCCTTGACCACAGATTTTTTTCTTATCTTTAAAATGCAGAACTTTTCAATACTTTTGTATGTTATCTGTTGTTTATTAGTCTTCAATTTCTGACTATTTGCTAGTCTGCTTTTTCAATGTTTTTGGAATGTTTTAAGTGTTTATTAAACTTTCTAAAATTAGCCCTAAAACGATTCAAACAAGTTGAATGCTTCTTTTTGTAATTATTTTTGGGCGTAAGAGTGTTGACTGAAGCATATTGTACGCGATTCATACTTAAATGTGCGCACGTTCAACGCTTTCACTACCCTATAAAGTTACAGAAAGAAGCATTCAATTCTTATTTTAAATATTTATGCTACAACTATGAAATATTCGTTTGTTTTTCCTATGCAACGTTGTTGCGGAGAATACGTGCAGTAATAGATTAAGAATTCAATGCTTCCTTTTGTAATTTTATCGTAAAAACGTTGACCACAGCACTTTTTGTATGAAGCGCTGCAATCTAATAGGAAGCGCTGTACCTCATACTATAAGTGTACGCAAAATCAACGCTTTTGCAACCCTATAAAATTATAAAAAGAAGCATTCAATTTTTATAATTACATGCATATGCTCCAACCATGAAATAACGAATTATATCTGTTTTTTTTCCTATATGCATTATTGTGACATTGTCTTGTGTAGCACGTGCAGTTACACATGTGGCATTTTAATGAGAAATGAAATATAAATGTTTTGCGACTGTTGTCAGCCATTCAAAAGTGAATGATTCTCATGAAACCATACATGCAATGTAATTATAAAGACATAACACTTTTGAAAGATCAAGAGGGAATTAAAATTTAGAAAAAATACTCTCATCGGGTATTGCACGTTGTATACAATATGACGGCAGATATATAGAAATGAATATTTTAAGGGACAGACCCGTTTTAAATGTCTGTAGCATGGCCGAGGAAAAACGCTTTGAGCGTGTTAGGATTTGTCCAATTTTAAAACCGTCGATAGTCCATTTAACATTTACATACAGGAATAATTACTCTTATGATGCTACTTTTGCCTTTGTAATTTTAGGACTAAAACACTAATATTTACAAGGTTATTGCATTGATATCCATTATATACAGATATTTTAAGATTTTTTTCAGTTGTAAAGAACTAACTGTTTACACCGTATGTTTTAATGTCAAGTACTGTTTGGCAATCATTATCGTGAATTAATATAAAATTAGGAGATGCAATATGATTGCCAATGAGATAATTTATTCACCATAGGACAAATGACTTCGTAAAGTATTTATCGACTTCATATCAAATAAGAACCGAGGACGAGGATTTAAATCACTGTATAAGTATGTTGCGGCCTTCAATCATGTGCAAAACCCATACCTCATAGTAAACTATAAGAGGTCCAGGTATGATTTCTTATTTGCTTTGGCAAAATAATAGTACGCAGAAGATATGCTGAAAGATTAATGTAATCATCCTATGAGAAGTTTATTGGAACCGTTTTACTTTTGTTAAATCTTGAGTTTCTCATTTCTTTGACAAATCAAAAGAAAACAGTGTAACAACAGAGGATCTTGATCTAGTTACTGTTCGAAGTGTTCTATCTGTTACCAAGTTTTTTATTGAAAACTTTGAATGTGACAAAAGAGCTTCGTACTTGGAAAACCACACATAGGAATGGACTATCATGGCGAGTCATACGAGTCCGTTACTTGATGAACTATAAAGCTATGGAATACTTCACTAAGAGGATAACAGACCACACCAACAGACAACTCTCGACATCTCCGAAAAATACATTCTAACAAAGACAAACCACCATGATTCAGATAGCCTCTGAACGGACACACAATGTATGTGTGTTTGTGGGTGGCTCGGTGGGTGAAAAGGGGGGAGTAAATATATTTAACATGCACACAAAGCACCGTTTTGGTATGTATGTGTCGTAAAACTAAAAACACATAATAACGATCGTGAACATTGCAGCTACGAACTGGATGCTCGTTACTACCAGAAGATAAGGTAGCTGCCGCTTATGAAAAACAAAACTTGAAGAATCCGAAAGTTGACTCCCAACAGGTTTCATGAAGTTTCGTTATAAAATTCAATTGAAATCTGTGGTATTTATAAGAGGTTATAACTTTTGGGTCATTTGAGTCCTACAACAACTTTTCTGAAGCATTGCGCTATTGGAGTTCGTAACTTGATGGAGTCATTTGTGTCATTAGGAATTAGGAATGTTCTTGACCACCAACCTATACATAAACTGGCAAATGATAAGAAAGATTTTTGAACTACGCCACAAATTCACTTTTAGTTTGGAAAATAAACATGTTTTAAATAACTGTTCATAATTTTGCACTGAAATGTTCAATCAATATTGTTTAAAACGACATTTGTACTTTA